TGCCAGAAATATCGAGTTTTCGACCGAAAAAGGCCAATTTCAAAATTTCGACGTATTCAAACAATTTTGAAAAGGTTTTAGATAGTTTTTCTGGTTGAAATATAGTTATATTTTACGAAAATCCCTATTAAAACACTTCCTAATCAGCTGCGATACATTTCTATACTTATTCGAAAAAGTTCGTTCCCTCGATAAGGCAAAAGGCCTTCGTTCTTTCTTTATCTTTAGAAACCGGCGTTCTTTTTATCTTTATCCGTTTTTTTCAGATGGAAAAGAGATCCGGAGACGGCCGCTCGTCAACGACAAACACCGCGCTATCCCCTTCGTCTTCAACGTGGACAACTGCGTGCTCGAGTTTGACCTGATCAACCTCTACAACAAGTGCAAAGACACCTCCAAGGGCAAGCAGCCGGCCGCCAAAAAGAACGAGTAATTGACGGATTTTGCGATGGTTTTGTGATTTTTGTGCAATCGTTGGTTGTTTGATATCCTAGTCGTTGCCTTAGATGGTTCTTTCGCATTATCGGGGGGGGGGGGATTTTTTGTATAAGGCTAGAAATGTGTAAATTAATAGGAAGCGTTTTGATAGTGTTTGTAGTAGAATATAGAAAAACTGGAAAACTATCTAAAAACTCACAAAGTTTGAAAGGTGCAAATTTTAGTAAAAAAAAATTGTTATTTTTGCTGTTTTTGATACAAATTTGTAAAGTTTTTATCTAGAAAGGTTTCCACAATTTTTATTTGAAAAGTTGCATCCTAAGTTATAAAAAAGTGCCCCCTCCCGGGTAACGCGAAAGAACCGTTAGATCTATCAAATTTAGCTGGTTCCGGATTTTGTAATGATTTTTGTGCCCCGGCCCGCACTTCGTTCTTCCAATATGGGATCTCAATCAGCCAATTGCTCACCTACCAGGATGCCTTTACCCCAAAATTTGTCGGAGATTCTCTCATTTCGCCAAACCGCTTGATACTCGCATTGTCACGCTTTTGCTCTTTTCGTTTCGTTTTTTTTGTGTGTGTTTTCCCTTTTCGCGCCTAGTTAGTAAGGATTTAATAAAATTGAGTGCTTTCCAGATGTGCGGGTAGCCGGTAAAAATGGCCGTCGTTGAAGCAGCACCGCCGCCGTCGGCAGAAGCGGCCGGGCTGGCCGATCAGCTGGCCCAAAAGGAGATGGATTATAATGTGAGTGGAATGCTGGATTTAGATTACCGATCTATTCATTTAAGCAACCGCCGTTTTGCGTAATTTTTCGAGATATCAGGGTGGTGCTAGATGTCGGTTTTGGGCGTCAAGAAACGTCAAAAAATTCAGGAACTCCAATCGCTCTTCACCAAGTACAAGCTGAAGCAGAAGGTGAAGTATGACAAACTGCGCGACGAGGTGATGGCGTACGTGAAGAAGACGGGCGCATCGGCGGAGAAAGAGGTAGCTTTACGATGGTTAAAAACAAAGCTTCTGTAGGGTCAATGGGCCTAGTGATTGGGCCCATAAAGAGTTGGTTATATTGTTTTTTTAGTAGATTATCACTATATTCGAAGTGGAAACTTCGGAAAAAAATTAGAAAGGCGTTTAAAAATTCGAAATCTTGGCCTTTTTCAGACGTCAAAAATATATTTTTCAGGCAAATTAAATTTTGACCCGAATGCGGTGGGTTTTTATACTCAGGTATAGCTAGAGATATATCGCTGTTCTCCAAAAACGTGAAGTCTTGCGCCGCCAATTCCTAATTCCCACAAAATTTAGAACAACGCCGCGCTCATGATTCGGATATCGGAGACGGAGCTGAAGCTAGAGGAGGCCGAGAGAAGAGCCGAAACTCATGCACGCGAGCTGCAGAGGCGCCAGACTCAGATCAACGACCAGATCATTGTGATTAGGGTGAGAAAAAGCAAAGGATCCTTAAAATCGCAAAGTTTAGAACCTGGAGAGCCAGCTTCGCTCCCGAAGGCCGCTGTCTGACATCGAACGCAGCGAGCGGCGCCGGATGAACGAGATGATCGACATGGACAGCATTCAGGCGCAGATGACGTACAAGGACGAGCGGATTGTCGAGCTGAACAACGTGATCCTGGAGCGCGAGCGGCAGATTTTGGACTTGCAAGAATTGGTGGGCTACTAAAAGCATCTGGACCAGTCTAAAACCTAGAGGTTCTTTCGCATTATCGGCGGGGGGGATTTTTTTCTCAGGATCTAATTTTTCAAAATTAAACCGTGGAAGGCTTTCTAAATTGTTTTTTACTAATCCTGAGATACAAAACTTTACAACTATTATTTGAAAAATATCGGCTTTTCGACCAAAATCACCAACGTTTTCAAAGATTTTTTAAAGTTTCTAAGTAGTTTCTCTACTGGAAAAATAGTTTTGTTATATTAAAAACACTGTTATAATAATTCCTATGAAGTTACTAGGCATTTCTAGTTTTATATAAATCGACATACCGATGTTTCGACAGAAATGGCGGGTTTTGACCAGAATTTCGACTTTTCGAAAACATTTCAAAGTTTTTAGATAGTTTTATCGTCGAAATATCGTGAGGTGTTACTAAAACGCAACTAAAACACTTCCTATTAAGTTACTTTACATTCCCAGGCTTAGACAAAAAAGTCCCCTCCACCCGATAATGCGAAAGAGCCAAAATAGATAATAGGTACCCCCTTTTTAGTAAACAGAAAAAACACACAATAAAAACATTGTTTTAGGTTCGTGAGCACGACGAGGTGGCGAGCAGCAAGAAGCAGGCAATGCGCTTGGTGCAGAAACGCTTTGAGGTGGGTACAAACTGGAAAACCAGCTTTTGGAGTAAAAATAATGATTTTATGACCTTATATTATACTATTTCGCCTCGTTTTATTGGCTGACCAGCGCCCAAAATCCGCTTCGCGGGCCTTGGGCGCTGGAATGCGGCCTTTGCATGAAAAGTTTGACTTTCTGATAGCTCGGGTCCTGCGGACCCCTCCACCCCCCGACCACACGCGCGAGGGCAATTTGGAAAGTTCGGGCGTTCGAGCGTTCGAGCGTTCGAGCGTTCGAGCAAATTTGGAAAGTTCGAGCGTTCGAGCGTTCGAGCGTTCGAGCAAATTTGGAAAGTTCGAGCGTTCGAGCGTTCGAGCGTTCGAGCGTTCGAGCAAATTTGGAAAGTTCGAGCGTTCGAGCGTTCGAGCGTTCGAGCAAATTTGGAAAGTTCGAGCGTTCGGGCGTTCGAGCGTTCGAGCAAATTTGGAAAGTTCGAGCAGATTTGGAAAGTTCGAGCAGCCATTTAAATTATGTCTTTTTAAGGGTATATTTACGTAATATTGATATATACTTGATGGTTTAGCGTCCTATAACTATTCCTAGGGCCAAAGTAATCAGTTTAACGCCCTAGAACGTACCTTACAGCTAAAGTAAAGCCTCGCTCGCAGTATAACAGGAGTTAACACATTTTAGCGGGATTATTCAGAATAAAACCGAGGATTTCACATTGCAAAACTTCATTAACGGTTCGGAGTAAGTTTCATCAGGGGGAACCAACTTTTTTTTTGGTATTACAACGTAAGAATATACGAGTTAATAATATACTACCTAATTAACAAAAGAAAAACAGAGCCGGGTCTGCATCCCCATGCAATGCTTCATTGCTATTGTTCAGACTAGTTACTTGCTACTTGAATACTTGTAGCCGTCAATACGCTCTAACCCGTTAAACTGTCAAGTAATACGTGAATACATCGCCGGACATGCTTAGCTAGCATACAACACTGAAAACTGGCGAGATTGCCCTTATAGAGTACTTTAACAAAATAACTCCCGCTAAAACTTTGTTTAGTTACACATACATGTCGAAGGAAGGCGTAGGGCGGATAGGCAAAGGTTTTTCCAAGCGGTTTTTGGAAAAAAACCACGCCATACAACTAGAACTTTACTAATTGCCAGCGCTAGGCTTTACTTTAACTATAAGACACGTTGTAAGGGTTAAACTGCCAAGCACCTGACGTAAATACATCGCCTGTGACGTAGTGAGTTAGTATAATACCATGCAAACGTGGCGAGATAGCCCTTATACCGCGTGAAACAAGTATTCAGTGCTAGAACGCCTGTTTTAATCTAAAAATTGACACCAAGCTACGTTGGTTACATTACTGGGCCCTAGGAATAGTTGTAGGACGTTAAACTATATTATTAACTCGTATATTCTTACGTTGTAATACCAAAAAAAAGTTGGTTCCCCCTGATGAAACTTCCTCCGAACCGTTAATGAAGTTTTGCAATGTGAAATCCTCGGTTTTATTCTGAATAATCCCGCTAAAATGTGTTAACTCCTGTTATACTGCGAGCGAGGCTTTACTTTAGCTGTAAGGTACGTTCTAGGGCGTTAAACTGATTACTTTGGCCCTAGGAATAGTTATAGGACGCTAAACTATCAAGTATATATCAATATTACGTAAATATACCCTTAAAAAGACATAATTTAAATGGCTGCTCGAACTTTCCAAATCTGCTCGAACTTTCCAAATTTGCTCGAACGCTCGAACGCCCGAACGCTCGAACTTTCCAAATTTGCTCGAACGCTCGAACGCTCGAACGCTCGAACTTTCCAAATTTGCTCGAACGCTCGAACGCTCGAACGCTCGAACGCTCGAACTTTCCAAATTGCCCGCGCGAGTGCAACTGGCAAGAATGAGGAAATTTGTATTTTTTTCACGTTATGCAAATTAGCCCTCAGTTACTCCCAAAAATGAATAAAACCGGCTTTAACTTTGTAAACTTGTATTTTATCGAAATTCCGAGAACGCCATCCGAGACAGAAGGGTCGATTCCCCCAAGTGACGAAGAATCAGAGCGTTTTATGCACAGGAAGGCCCTCAAATCGGGCCTCGAAAGTGACATCCACACACACACACACATTTACACGCCAAAATTATATAAGGTAGGATAAGTCTTTAATTAGTTTTATGGTTTTATGAAATTGCACAACGTTTAGGAGCTGGATTCGAAGACGCACCGCTCGGTCGGCACGGAAATGGACTTTGCGCTGGTGAGCAACGGCTCGCCCGCGCATCGAGCGCGCGCCGAACAGGCGCCGGCGCGGGCACAGCGCGGCTCGAGCCCCGGCAGGGCCATTCGAGGTTAGTGGTGCTGAAAATCTCTTAGATCCTTAGAGCCGTAGAACTCTGAAATTAACGTCATAACTTACGAAAAAGCTTGATACTTACCGGTTCTCGTCCATTATCAGGGGCCGAATTTTGATTTATAAGTCTAGAAATATCTAGTAACTTGATAGAAAGTATTTGTAGTGTTTTTAGTCACGTAAAAGTTTATTTTCAATTTAATATTTCGTATTCAACCAGGAAAACTATCTAAAAACGTAAAAAAAAAATTGTAAAGTCGGAACTTTGTAAAAAATCGGCCACTTTTGGTCGAAAAATCGGGATCTTTGTAATTTTTCATGAATTTGTAAAGTTTTTGCATTTAGGAATAGCAAAAACCCTTTAGAAACGTATCAGCTAAAAATTGGATGCTAAGAAAGAAGTTGGTTTTCCCACTGAATCCCCCCCCCCCGATAATGCTAAAGAACCTACTGAACGATTATTTTCTATCAACAGTTTTACAAGCTTTTTTAGGACAATCCGCCCATGGCACGTCATCGCCGCCTCCGCTTGACCCGAGTGAGGACACGCTTGAAGATGAGGACATGCCCGGAACGAGCTATTCGGTATTTTTTTTGTAAAATTTAAATTTTCAAGCCAGATTTAGATCTTTTAGCAGCTTTTTATTACTAAAAATCCAAGCAACAATTTCTAAATTCCTTTAGGCCCGCAAAATCGAGGAGAAGCGCAAGAAGAAACTGCGCGTCACCTTCGACCTGCCTTCTTCCGGGAGCGTGGAGTCCGTCTTGCCGTCGCCGCAAAAGATGCAGCAATCGAGCAGCGCGGCCGCGTAAGTGGCTCAGGAAATAGTGACATAATACGGGCTTTAATTTTGTCGAAAAGGAGTTAAAAACAATCTTCAAAAAAAACAATTTTTAGGCAGCTCGCTGAAGACGCGCGTCTCCACGACGAGGCCGACGAATTTGCGCAGGCCATCCACGAGCTGACGGTGCGTAAAATAGAATTTCTAGGCTATTACGGTCCATTAATTAGGCTCTTAGTTATCATAGTTGAGCAATTATAGCTTTAGTTAAGAATTATAGTATCTTATTAATTATCTGGTAGCTGTTTTGGTAGTAATTTATGGGTATAACTTTTATTTTGTTGTTATTTATGGTATTTTAGTATTAGTTATAATCGATTACATGTATAAGCGAACGTTGTAAACTTCTCCGATACCTTGTAATGGATTTTACGCGACAATTCGCTAGTTCAGGTCGAAAATGAGCATCTGCGAAACGTCGTCGAAGAGCAGCGCGCCCAGCTCGCCGCTCAGCAGTCCCGGCTCGCTGACGTGAGTTTGGATTCTGAATGTTACGCCTAGATTCCTAAAGTTTCCGCGTAGCTACTTAGTTTTAGATGTCAAGACATACATTTCACGCCTAAAGACGTAAATGTGTAAACTCCACGCGTAAATGCGTAGATTCTACACGTAGCTATTTAAATTAGGGCGTATGGGCGTAAATTCTACGCGTAGATACGTAAATTAAGGCGTAATAGGAAAGTTTCGACGTAAAGACTTACATTTTACGTGTAAATGCATAAACCCTACGCGTAAAGTCGATCATCAGTAAATATTGCACGTAGCGACGTAAATTTTATGCGTCTATGCTTAAATGCCGCGCGTAGATGCGTCAATTTTACGCGCATAGACGCAGATGCGTAAACTCTATGTGTAGATGCGTAAATTCGACGTAGGGACGCCAATTTCGAAGTAAATACGTAAATTCTACGTGATTCGACGATCTGACGCGGAAATGCGTAAATTCTACGCGTATATCCTTAAAATCTAGATCGTAAAGTTTAATTATGCGTTTTAGTCCGAAGACCAAGCCACCCGCGTGCAAAAGGACAACAAGAGCGCGGTGGCGAAGGCGCGCGTCGTCGCCCAGGCACGCATCAAGGACCTCGAGGACAAGATGGCCGACCTCAACCGCACTTTCTCCAATCAGGTGCGTAAAAATGATTTGTTTTTTGACGGTGACGGACCAACTACAGAGTGTCCCAAAAAATTACCCCTCTAGCGGCCCGCTGTCGGGTCCGATTTTGACGAATTAGGCATCTATCGAAAGCTCTCGAAAAGGCGAGGAAAAAACAGCGCTTTTCGTTTTCTAGATTTGGTGGTTCGAATATGTGTTTTTATGACCAAAACCCAGGAAAAATAGCTGCTTTATGCGATTTCTAGTCGAAAAATGCGCGTGTTTTTTCACAAAAGATGTAAAAAGCCAGTAGTGCTAAACATTTTGAGAAACCGATGTCGATTCCTCGCATAGTTTCGTTATTAATTTTCAACTTACGAAATGTTTGAGATTGACAAATTAACGAAATGAAAATATACCCTTTTTGAGCGTAAAAATTGTCGAATCCTTTCAGGTCGAAACGCTTCAAGTCGAAAACGAGACCCTGCGAAGTAGCCGTGAATGGGAAGTGGAAGAGAACGCGAGAATGAGGGAGCGATTGGCGAAAACGATGTAAGTCGATCTATCAGAATTTCTGACTTAATTCTTAGAAAAATCATATAACCAACGATATTACAGGGAAAAAAATGCGAAGCTGCACAGCGAGGTCGAGGCGGCACTGGTGACCAACTGCGAGCTCGAGCGCAAAATGATCAGTGAGCAGGAGGTGGGAAATATATTTTTATTGATACATAAATTCATCCCTAATTTTTAATACGAATTTAGACAACAAAGAAATACTAGTTCTTGGATTAAAAACGTCAAATATATAAAAAAAGGTTTTTCCCCCGATATTTTAAAACAATACTATTTTTATTCTTAATTGAGGAGCAATTTCGATATTTCTGTGTTCATAAATGTTTTTTTTCAGGTGATGAAATGCATGATGGAGGACCTCGAAGATGCCGAGCGCATCATCGTCCAGCAGGAGGACGAGAAGACGCAGATGGCCGAGGATATTGAGTTGATGAGAGGTAGAGCTTTAGCATATCTCTCCATCTCTCTCTATCCCTCTCTCTCTCTCCTCAAAAAAAAACGCGTTGCCTTAGGCGCCATCATCGCCCAGGAGCAGTTCATCGAGGTGCTCGAGGCCGACATCGTCATCTACGAGGAGCATATCGGAATTTTGCGAGAGTCACTTGGCGCTAGCAAGGTGGGATTCATTGTTAAGCTAGACCGGAGCCGAAGTTAAGCTAAGCCTGAACCTAAGCCTGCACCTAAGCCTAAGGCTACTTCGAAGCCTAAGTCTAAGCCTAAACCTGAGCTAAGCTAACCCTAAGCTAAGCCTAAGCAAAGCATAAGCCGAGCCTAAGCCGCCTTTCAGGTGGACCACCGTGACCTCATTCGCTCCAAGGCCTTCGAGGCAAAGCTGAAGGCGCTGGAGGAGGAGAAGCAGGAGATTGCCCGCACCAGGCATGGTGAGTCTATTTTTCGGGTTTTACTTGGGTTTTTGAATTTTCTGCGAGGTTACGGTAGGAAAAAAATCCGGATTTTTCACTTTATCTGTGTCCTGAAGTCCTGGACGTACGGTAGAAACTAATTAGAATGAAAAACACTTTAGAAATAACGACATTCTGGGAATTCGTCAATTTCTAGCTCCTCTGCTTCTGCAGTCTGTCTCTTTCTCTCGCTCTTTCTGGCTCCGTCTGTCTTGCTCTCTCTTCGCACTCTCTGTCTCTCTCTCTCTCTCTCTCTCTCTCTCTCTCTCCCTCCCTCCTTCCATTACGTTTCTCTTACCATAATCCGCTTACAGAAGAACGTCCAGAGTATTCCCGCGTTCCATGCTTTTTGGGGATGATTTAGCTTTGAATATTCATGAGGAACTACGAATTTCCGCCGCTTTTTTGAGTCATCATTCCATAGCTCGTGACGCTTGGCCAGGGCAAGCTGACAGGGATTCCTTGAGGAACGTTTTCGTCAAAAAAAAGCGAAAATCCGGTTCTCTCCCGCTCACGCTCACACACACTCTCTCTCACTCTCTCTCTCGCTCTCGCTCTCTCTAGCTTTCTTTCGTTCTCATCTGAAGGCTAGCGGGGGTTCTTTGAGGAAATTTTGGCCGGAGAGGTTAGCAAAGAACCTTGAGGAAGCGTCGAAACGCTCAAAACCCGGAAATGGGTCTTTTGTCGAAAATCAGATATTTTAGCGTAGCATTAAATAGCGTAAATTTGGCATACGATGTGTTTTTGTTAATTGAATTTCAATCCGTAGTTTATAGCATCATTTCTGTATTTTTATAACAACAAAATTTCGCCAGAAAATACCCGACATTTCATAGCTGACGACGGAACAGTACAGTCAGTGGGCAAACAAAAACGTAGAAAGGGGAACGGAAAAAATGGGCTGCAAAACATGAGCACTTGACTTTGGCGGGGAGGGGGCAATGAAAAAGGGCAAATATACCCTCAATACCAAACAGCAGACCCAATAAAAATACATAAATGTGAAGATAGGTTTTGCCCGTAGGTAGGCCGGTTTCGGAATATAATTCTCAAATGATGGAACAAAAAATGGTAATGGAAAGTAGAGGAAACATAGTAACGAAAAATATTAGATGATTTCGGATTACGAAAATTTCATTTAGCTCGCTCTCTCTTTCTCTCTCTCTCTATCTCTATCCATCACTCGCTCTCGAACTGGGTTTGCCTATCTCTCCCACTCTCTTTCTCTCTCTCCTCTCTCTCTCTCTTCAAAATTAAACCCGTAGCGTGGTACGTGAGTGGGAGAGAGAGAGAGACAGAGAGAGACACAGAGAGTGAGAGAGAGGTAGAGATAGAGAGAGCGAGAGACTGAGCGAGGGTGAGAGGGTGATAGAGGGAGAGAAACAGATAGCTGGCACGGTCCCTTAAACAAGCGGATCCTTCGACGTCCGTCTATCTGTCGTATCTTCTGATAGCGTACTCGACATTCCGGAATCTTCCGTTTGACTGCTGTCCGTTGTAAAAGCCGGATTCCGGTGCCCCAGCTTTTCGCTTATGATGGTGGCGCTGCGTGGGGGTAGGCCCTGAAAAAGCGATTTTTAACAGCAAGAAAGAGAGAGAGAGAGAGAGAGAGAGAGAGAGAGAAAGAGAGGGAGAGAGAGAGAGGGAGAGAGGGAGAGAAAGGGAGAAATATTCTTTAACGTACCCTCTTTATCGTCCCGTACTCCCTGTAGGAGTATCCATTATCGGTTACCGTCTCGGGAAGCGCGCTAACGACCTAGAAATCCCATTATTAAAAGTGTTAAAAACAGATTTGTATTTTTTTGCCATAACTACGGTATTTTGGGACCTTATTTCTTGATTCCCCTCGATTTTTCGACCCGTTTCCCGGCGAAAGTGCCATATTTTCCGCCAATTGTGCACACAATGATTCAGAAAATTAAAGTGGAGAAACGGTCGGGAATTCATTGCTTGTACCGCGTTTTATGAAGAAAAGTCGGCGATTTTTATGCTCGCGAGCCGAGGCAAGCTAGCAGAGGATCTTTAGGAAAATTTAGGCAAACTGGCCGGGCAGGCTGGCAGAGAACTTTTAGGAAAATTTTTTAATATTAGCTGGGCCGGCTAGCAGGGATTCTTTAGGAACGGTGCTAACCCCAGTTAAGGCAGGCTAAAATTAGGGAAACTTGCCACAAAAGATTGGGGCAGGCTAGCAGAGAATTTTTTGTCTTCGAATCCGATCTCCCCTGCCGATTTCTTTAAAAACCCACATCACAGTCGCATTTGGTACAGTGGCGTTCCCGTTTTCGGAAACAGCAGAAAAGCCCGCAGGGAAAACACAGAATCGCGTAGAGAATACCGCGCCACGTGAACCGCCATGCAACGGAACGCGTCCGGCAATCCGGACATTCCAGATTCTCTGTCATTTGGTGTGAGGCGTACTCGTAGTGGGAATCTAGAAATGGCTGTTGATTGCGTGATTTCGAAGGGCAGACTAGCAGAGATCATTTGGGAATGGAAGGGGTAGGCTAGCAGAGATCATTTGGGAATGGAAGGGGCAGGCTAGCAGAGATCATTTGGGAATGGAAGGGGCAGGCTAGCAGAGATCATTTGGGAATGGAAGGGGCAGGCTAGCAGAGATCATTTCGGAATGGAAGGGCAGGCTAGCAGAGATCATTTGGGAATGGAAGGGGCAGGCTAGCAGAGATCATTTCGGAATGGAAGGGGCAGGCTAGCAGAGATCATTTGGGAATGGAAGGGGCAGGCTAGCAGAGATCATTTCGGAATGGAAGGGGCAGGCTAGCAGAGATCATTTCGGAATGGAAGGAATGGAAGCAGAACCTTTAGCAATAAACGGTTCAGAGCCCCTGGCAAACTAGCAAAGATTCTTTGGGGAATCAGTCCAGAAATTAGGGCGGGCTAGCAGAGATCATTCGGGAAAAGGATCACTGGCAAGGCGAAAAGCGTCGAAAAATCGGGGCAAGCGAGCAGAGATTTTTAGGGAAGTTCGTAATTTTCAACTAAAATTTTGTTTAAATTAGCCATATAAGGGTTCAAAACAGCGTCCCAAACTAGGGCGTAATTAGGGTACAAAACGGAATAATAGTCGGGAAAGGACAGAGAGAGTGCTAGGTTTAGAGGGAAGAGTGCAACCGGGGGAATAACATGACCACGGCGGGATCCTCCCAATCGATCCACCCCACAACGCAATATTTACGCCAAACCTGAATTTGATTACGGGTCGAACGCCCGTAGATAGGCGTCATACGGAATATTTATTTTTATGCGCAAAAAATCGATTGATTTCGACGGCGGACCGGAAGTGATTTTTTAAAGGCGCCGACGAGCCTTAAAATAATGTCAAAAATGCCAGAATGCCGACAGGGTAAATTCGCTACAGGTCAAAATGCTTAAAATCATAATACCGACAGACCATAATACCGACAGTCCGAAATACGGGCAGACCATAATACCGACAAGCCAAAATGCAGCAGCCAAAATCTCGACAACCAAAATCCCGACCGACGATAATACCGACATGCCGCATTTAAATTCGCGTCATCAATATGTCGGGATTTCGGTGTATCGTGTTTTGGTTGTCGGCATTTTGGCCTGTCGGGATTTTGATTGTCAAAATTATGTTATTGCCGTCGGGATTTTGGCTGTCGGGGGGATTTTTGGCTGTCGAGATCCAGGTTTTCGGGATTTAGGCTGTCGGGATTGGAGCCATTCGGCATTTTGGCGGCCAACTAGCAGAGCCTGTTTGAGACGATTCCACCTAATTTTCCACGATTAACCTGTAAGAAGATCGGCAGGCTAGCTGAGGTTATTTGTGGAATTTGTAGAATTTCGAGCTCCATAGGAGGCGGGGAGAGGCTAGCAGAGATTCTTTAGGAAATTTAGTGCCACTTAGTTCAGTTAAGATGCCAAAAATTGGAAGGCAAGCTAGCAGAGACCATTTGGGGAATGCTGAACCCAAAACCAGACCAAAGCTCGGGCTCAAATTGCGCTCGGCGTGAGGGCTGAAACGAGCGGGTGGCCTTGTTTTTTGTCAGGGTTTATCGGCCCACAGCTGAGGCGACAGTTGGGGGAAGGTGGGGGGAGGAATTTTCGAGGAGAATCGAAATAATGGGAGAGAGGGCGAGAGAGAGAGGGAGGGAGAGAGAGAGAGAGAGAGAGAGAGAGAGACAAACAGACACCGCCCCACCCACTTCTCTGTGCTCTGTTGCTCTGGGCTGTCCGCCACTCTCTCTCTCTCTCTCTCTCCCTCTCTCTCTGTATCTTTCTCTAACCCTCTCTCGCTCTTTCTCCCTCTCTCTCTCTCCTCTCTCCCCTCTCTCTCTCGCTCTCGCACATGCTAAAATAAATACTTGGCAAGCCAACAATTAGGTTTTCAACAACACCTAAAGGACCCCACAAAATTATCGGTATTTCATAGCTGCAAGATGTCCTAGCAGCCAATATCACTTTCGGATTCTTCGAGGGAATACTCTAGATTTACAAACCTCGGCCGGGATTTGTATGTGGCGCCTAGTTTGTGCAATCCGGCCGCTCCACGGCTGCTCTATCACTCACTCACTCTCTCGATCTCTCGCTCTCTCTCTCTTTCGCCGATCATTTCACTGACCCGATCGGGTGACTGATTACCCCGGCGCCCGCCTCACAATAGGCGGTGAATTGGCGGGCGATTCCGAGAATTCTCCCCTTTTGGGGTGTTGATGTGCAGGTTAAAATGTGACCCGGATCGTACCCGACCGTGTGATATGCTAGAAGAGATCATTTGGGAATGGAAGGGGCAGGCTAGCAGAGATCATTTGGGAATGGAAGGGGCAGGCTAGCAGAGATCATTTGGGAATGGAAGGGGCAGGCTAGCAGAGATCATTTGGGAATGGAAGGGGCAGGCTAGCAGAGATCATTTGGGAATGGAAGAGGCAGGCTAGCAGAAATCCTTTGGGATTTTGGCTATTTTAAAATTTTCAAGAACGTCCATGAAATTAATTATGATTCCGAAAAAATCGATAATATTTCTAATTTTGCAGATGAGCGACTCAAGACGAAAGCCCTCAACGCGAAGGTGCGGCTCCTTGAGGGGGAGAACGAGAAGCTGATGGCCCGAATCTGCGAGATGGAGATGGGACCCGGTCAGGAACAAGGCGCACCCACCACCCAAAACACTTCCCATCACCTGCAGCATGAACTCGCCGAAGCCGAGGCCAGACTCGAGACGCTACGCGGCGAGTACGATCAACAACTCGCGACGGTTCGTCTGGAAAATGAGGGACTGACAAGGCAGTGGCAGTCGATGAGGGATACGGTACGAGGGCTGGAAGACGAGCTGACTACGTTGAGAGCCACGCAACAGGGCCCGAGTCGGGGCGATCAAGGCAACTTTGGCCAGACGCTGCTGCCTGCACTTCAGGAAGAGGCTCAGCAAGAAAACGGTAATTTTTGCCGGTGGTTTGAGTGGTAATTTTGCATTCAAAGCTCAACCTAGGCCTAAACAAAGCCTAACTGTAAGCCGGGCCTGAAGCTTAAGCCTAAACCAAGCCTAAGACTATGCCTGAGCTAACCTAACCCTAAGCCGTGCCTAAGCCAAATCAAGTCTAAGCGAAGTCTAAGCAAAGTTTAAGCCTAAGTCTTGGCCAAGCTTGAGTTTAACCAATACTGTGTCAAGCCTAAGTCAAGCCCAAGCCAAGCCTAAGCCAAGCCTAAACCTAAGCTAAGCCCAGGCTAAGCTATGAATTTGGCGTAAAATTACATCCAAAACCGAGAAAATCGCAAAATTGAGAGGGTTTCGTCAAAGGTTTTGCCTTGTCAACCCCTTTAGAATAATTTTGCGGGGTTTAAAGGGACCGGGAAGGCAAAATTTTTTCCGGTTTTGTTAAAATTAAGCTCGACCAGTTTTAAAGGCATTTGGAAGGCAAGAAAACGAAAACACGCTGAAATTTCGGTAAAACTAGTAGTTCGACAACGAAGCGAAAATCTTCAAATTCAAGTCGTCTCGCCAAAGATTGATTGTGGCTTTCCGATAGCTTGCACCATGACCACATTTCAGAATCCCTTCGTACTCGCACCGCCGAGCTTGAGCACCAACTCGCCGACCTGGTACACGTCAAGGAGAAGCTGCAGGAGCAGCTCAGCGACGTCGGCGTGGAGAACTTTGAGCTGCAGGCGAGGGTGCAGCGGCTCGAGCGAGCTGAAGCCGACTTTGCCGTGCTTCGCCGGAGTGTTAATGAGGCCGAGAGGGAGAAGGAGATGGCCGAGGAGGAGAGGAAGAAGCTGGAGATTGAGCTGGAATCGCTGAGGGAAAAGGAGCTGGAGACGTCTAACGAGTTGCAGCAGGCCAGGCATCGGGTACATAGATTACGACATTTAAATTAAGAATTAAGAACATTTGGGGAAAAGTTGGTGGGGAAAAAGAACACTAGCAGAGATCATTTGGGAGTTTAAGGGACAGGCCAGCAGAGAGCACTTGGGAATGGAAGGGGCAGGCTAGCAGAGATCATTTGGGAATGGAAGGGGCAGGCTAGCAGAGATCATTTGGGAATGGAAAGGGGCAGGCTAGCAGAGATCATTTGGGAATGGAAGGGGCAGGCTAGCAGAGATCATTTGGGAATGGAAGGGGCAGGCTAGCAGAGATCATTTGGGAATGGAAAGGGGCAGGCTAGCAGAGATCATTTGGGAATGGAAGGGGCAGGCTAGCAGAGATCATTAGGTATGAAAGGGGCAAGCTAGCAGAGGTTATTTGGGAATGGGGGCAGAACAGCAGCGATCATTTGGGAATGGAAGGGGCAGGCTAGCAGAGATCATTTGGGAATAGAAGGGGCAGGCTAGCAGAGATCATTTGGGAATCGAAGGGGCAGGCTAGCAGAGATCATTTGGGAATTGAGAGTATCTAGCAGAGACGCTTTAGCTAATCTTATGATCTCATTTCCAGATCAACACACTGATGGCCCAACCCCAACCTGTCCAGCTACAACAGGCTTCATCAACATCAAGCCCATGGGAACCGATGGAAACCCTCATGCCCTCGGATCGAGAACAACTTGAGCAGCTCCAGCGCGAGAATTCCCAACTTCGTGAAGAGCTCGCACACGCTCGACTGAGCCTGGCCGAGACTCGAGAGGTCCAGAAAGAAGTCGAAATCCTGAAGGCTGAACTCGAGGAAGAACGACGCGAAACCGAAGCGAAATGGGAGGAGGTCTGCGAAAAACTGATGCAATCCGCCGAACGCGCCGAGGACAGCCCGGCAGCCCGGTCTTCACGTAAAGCATCGATAGAGGAGATGCACACCTACCTCGACGCGTACGCCGAAAAGTGCAAGAAGCTGGAGGAGGAGCTGAGGGAGACGAAGGAGCGGATAGAGCAGTCGTCGACGGAGATCTCCAGGAATGCATCGCCCGAGCTGGAGGCCGAGCTGGCCGCTTGTCAACTACGGCTGGTGGATGCTGAACGGAGACTGGAGGAGAAGGGAGAGACGATAGGGAGGATACAGGGGGAATTGAAGGAGGCAAAGGAGAAGATGGAGGCCGATAAGGTTGAGAAGAAGAAGCTGAAGGCTGCTGTGAAACAGTTGAGGGATAGGCAACAGCAACAGACGGTTACGGTAGCACAAATGCCCGAGGAACCGAAGGTTCAGGTCAGTTTTTGAGGGCAGTTGTCGCTCTGTCTCTCTGTCTCTCTCTTTCTCTCTGTCTCTCTCTCTCTCTCGCTCTCTACCTCTCTCATTCGCCCTTCCCTCTCTCTCTCTCTCTCTCTCTCTCTCTCTCCCTCTCCTGTATTTCTTTCGCAGCCTTTCTCTCATTCTCTCTCCCTCCCTCTCTATCCATCTCTCTCTTTTTCTCTCTCGCTCTCCCTCACTCTCTCCCCTCTGAACTCCGCAAAGTAAAGTCGCCGTTTCCAGGTTGTCCACACCCAACAAGTCGCAGCTCAACCTCCTTCCGCCCCGACCACCTCCGAGCCAGCCGAGCCGGGCTCCTTGGAGGACCTTGAAAATGAGCTGCGCCAAGCCCACATCCGGCTCTTTAACGAGGGAAAACTCGTCGAAGACCTGCGGTTCCAGCTGGATGCACAGAACCGACAGGGGCAGTTGAGAGAATCGGAAATGGCGGAGAGGATGCAGCACCTGGTGGGTTGAGAGTGAGAGAGTGAGAGTGAGCGAGAGTGAGAGAGCGAGAGACAGGGAGAGAGAGCGCGAGAGAAAGAGAGAACGCGATAACCACTCACTTCAAATATTCCAGGAAACCCAAGCCACACAGCAATACGAGCAAGCCATCCGCGAGCACGAGCAGCGCACCCGCGCCGAGCTGATGAACGGCGAGCTCCAGCAACGTGTTTCCGAGCTCGAGACGAAGCTCTTTGGCTCGAGCCAAGTCGATGGGGCAGCGGAGGCTCAAGCTAGAGAGGAGAGAATGGAGCTGAATGCGCAGATTCGGGTAGGTTATGAAGTTTTAGACGTACTGGAAGGCGCCCAAATCGACCCCTTCGATCGACTATGTCTTGACAGCTACGTTGCACTCCAAATGACGCATGCCAGAACGCAAGAGTTTTTGATTTTTTTGACCAATACCCGAAGAAATACGGTATAAAATGAGATTCACGGGCGTCATTTGAAGCATTTCGTAACTGTCCAGACCTAGTCGATGAAAGGGGTCGATTTTTGGGCTTATCCCATTTTAAATGGACCCGGAAGGCAGAATGAGCTCCCAGAACTCCAGCTTGCTTTAGCAACTCCAAGCCACAATCCAACAACTCGACGCGCAGCGCCTCGAGAGTGAAGGCCGATTCACGCAGCTGGCCGAAGAGCTTGAAGCCGTTCGGGCGGAGGCGAGCAGGCGGGAAGACGCGCTGAACACGGAGATTGGCGCCCTGGAGGCGGATAAGGTAAAAACCCAAAAGAACTCATTTTAGCTTTTCTGTCCTTCCAAAATGGTCTGTTTTCCAGGCCGAGTTCAGCTTCCGTGCGGACGCCGCCGAGGAGTCGTTCAATCACAGCGAGCTGCACGATACGGTAGCTTTTCCTTCCTTGCTCTCTCTTTCTCTTTCTCTCTCTCTCTCTCTCCCTCTCTCTCTCTATTTTGCGTACTTAATTTTGTCAGATTCGCGACCTGCAAAAAGAAGTGGATCAGACCAAATACGAGCTGGTCTCGATGCGAAATGAGCTCGAAGCTTCGGAAGAAGTACGACAGCAGCTACAGTATCAGCTAGATGAGGAGAAGGAGAACGCGGGATACGGTAGCGGACAGTCAGATGAGCATGAGCGGCTCACCAGGGAGGTGGAGCTACTAAGGCAACAGGTACGACTAGATCCCTCTCACTTCTCCTCTCTCTCTCTCGCTCTCTCTCCCTCTCCCTCTCGCTCTATCTCTCTCTCCCTCTCTCTCTCTCTTTCTCATCCATGCCAATGTTCCAGCTCTCCGAAACTGAAGAACGTCTTGCCATCGCTGAGCAGCAGACCTTCTCCGAGATCGTCATCGATAGTACAGTTCCGGAATCGGCGCCAGTACAGGTTAGTAGATTCCAAAAAGCGCCAAATTACACCTGAACAGCAAGATACCGTTTTTTCTGGGCCGCTCCGTCTGTTGGTAGGTCTGCGCGTAGTAAAATTGTTGTGATTGTTGTGATGTGAGGAATTGCGTTCTCTCGCACTCTCTCACTCTCTAACGCTCTCTCTCTCCCTCTCTTTCCCTCTCCCTCCCTCTCTCTCTCTCTCTCCCTAATCTGCCACCTTTCCAGCACGAATCGCTACTACGAGCAAGTGCCGCGACCTCAAACGCTGTCACGAGCCTGCTAGAAGATCAAGGTCAAGCAGTACACTACGCTCCGCCACCCGGCTACGTTCCGTCCGAGTGGCCACAGGCTACGGTAGCTACGCAGCAGTACGCCGGACGCCCGGAACACGCGTATTATGGGCATCAAGCGCCTACCCCTACGCAACATTCCTATCAACACCGGGAACACGCGTACTATGGACAAGCTACGCAACAATACCCTGCACACACAACTACGGCAGCTACGCAACAGTACTCTGGACAGCAGGGATCTATGGCGACACAACAATACTCTGAACACCCCGCTGCAGCAGCTACGCAACAGCACTCTGGACACTCAACTGCGCCAGCTACGCAACAGTACGCTTCACACCAGCCTGGGGATACGCTAGCTGCGCAACGGTACGGTGCATATGAGCCCCAGCAAGCTACGGTAGCGACGCAACAGTACCCTGGACAGCACCTCCAAGCCGAGCATTCCCAACAGATCCAGCAGCAAGAAACGGTAAGGTATACTGTAGCATTACGGTGATTTCGAAGATTTTGTAAGTTTTTGACATGCTTAATGCTAAACCACGATTTCAGCCGATTCTGGCCCATTCCCCGGCCGAAAATTCCGGTCAGCCGCAAACTACAGATCGGCAGCTGGTGCTTAATTTGAACACGAACACGGAGAAGGACCTGTTTGCCGAGAATCAGCTGTTGAGGTAGGGAAAATGAAGTTGAACCTGGGCTTGTGCCAGGTTTAAGCGACGCCAAGCCCAAATCAAGCCCAAGTCTGAGCCTGAGACTAAGCCTACGCTAAGCCTGAGCCTAAATCTAAGCATAAGCTAGCCTAAGCCTCACCTTAAGCATAAGCTGTATCCTAAGCCTAAGCCTAAGCCTAAGCCTAAGCCTAAGCCCAAGCCTAAACCCAGCCTAAACCTAAGCCAAGCCGAAGCACAAGCCAAGCCTAAGCCAAGACTAAGCCTAAACCTAAGCCCAAGCCTAAGCCAAGCCAAACCCAAATTTTTGCAGAGAATGCGTCAACGAGACGTCAAATCTTCAAGAGCGCCTCGGGGAAGACGTTGAACGGCTTGAGGAGCTGCGTTCGGAGCTGGAAGGGGCAGTGGATGGGCTGAAGGGAGAAGTCTGGGCCCTGAATGGACAGCTGAAGGCTTCTGTGTTGGATCGCGAGGCCTTGGATACTCGACTGGCGATGGCCGACTCGCAGCTGGCCGCCGAGAAGGCGAGGGCCGATCAGCTGGATCAGGAGTTGTCGGAGCAGGTCGGTTTTTGGTGGATGTGGTTTTGAAGGGAGCATGAGAAATCAGTATCCTTATTTTTTGTGTTTAAAAAAGCGAGACCCCTAGGATTCGTTGGATTTCTGGGCTTAAACTGAGCACGACCGCTAGAACTCCTCTTTTATTTTGTTGAAAGGGAAGATGAGGGCGAAAAATCCTCAATTTGAAGGTAGAGCTAGAGCGAGAGAGAGCGGGCGAAAGAAAGAGGGAAAGAGTAAGAGAGGGAGCGGGAGAGAGAGAAAGAGTGAGAGAGAGGAAGAGAGAGCTAGAGCGAGCAAGAGCTAGAGAGGGTGAGAGAGCGAGAGAAAGAGTGAGATAGAGAGAGAGAGAGCGAGCAAGACCAAGAGTAACGAATCAATCTCCAGGTCGAACTCACGGAACGCGCTCAACGCCAAGCGGCCGAGTCTGAGAACGAGAGCAACAGGAGGCTGGCCGAATGTCTGGAGATGGAGAGCAGAAGGTGATTTATATAAACCCAAAAATCTGCGAACCCTATTGAAATCTAACCCATATAGCTATAGGAAAAGCTTCAAAATGATCCTCAACTTTTCAGGGAAGAGCTGGAGAAGGCGTACACCCAATTGAAAGAGTACTACACCCAACTTCACGCGTCCTATGAGGCCCTCTACAATTCGGTGCACAGGACCGAAAAAGTCGATGGACAAACCGAGACGGATGTTGATGGAATGACGGTGGAGAGGGGGGAAGAAGCGCTCAGGCTATATCACCTGTATCGGGAGCAATTCTCAGTGACGAAGGACAGGGTCGTCGAGTTGAGGACCGGGTTGAGGACGCTGGCGCATGTGAGTTATCTTTCTCTCTCTCTCTCTCTCTCTCTCTCTCTCTCTCTCTCTCTCTCGTATCTCACGCTCTCTCTCTCTCTCTCTCTCTCTATACTTCGCGCTTCCTCTATTCATCTTGCTATCTCTCTCGTGCTCTTTTCGCTCTTGCTCACTCTAGCGCACTCGCTCTCTCTCTCTCTCTCTCTCTCCTTGTTGTCACTCGGCTGCTTTCAGAGACACCCTTAGAAGGCCCGGGAAAATCGACCCTATGCCTCGACTGGGTCTAGACAGCTAGGCGATGCATCTCGCAAAAACGCCAATTTCGCTGCAAAATTTTATGCTTTATGTTTATCTTTGCGCGTTTCGTGTAGCTGTCTAAACCTAGCCGACGATAGAGGTCGATTTTTGGACCTCCTAGGCCCCTTCAAGAGCCAAAATTATTTAAAAAATACCTTTCTGCGTCAACAGACATTTTCAGGACCTGAGCACCGCCGACCTGGGCTCCCTTCGCGAGTCGATCACCGCCGAAATCGGCCGAATCCACGAGGCGACCGCTCGAATTGTGGAAGTTCGGGCTCAGCTTTCCGGGGGAGCCGCACCGGATGCGGATCGACTGGCTGAAATCGTGAACGCTGTAATCGAAAGCTGTGGCATCAACGTCCCAGCCGGAACATCACTCGTCGATCGGGTTGACCGTGTCGCTGAGCTGTTGCAGAACAGAAGCCGCGAGGCCGAGGAGGGCAGGGCGGCCGTGTTGAGGCAACAGCAGACGTGCGCTGCGCTGTTAAAGGTATGAGTTGTAGGTACCTTTAAACCGGATTTTAGCGCCTCGAGGCGGCGGAAGTGGAAGCGGCCGGCGGAAGTGCTGAGGAGGGGCAAACGAGACGGGAACTTGAGGAGACCAGGGTGCAATTGATGAACAGCAACGCCGAGGTTGGAATCAAATGATCTTTGCTAGCCTGCCCCTTCCATTCCCAAACGATCTCTGCTAGCCTGCCCCTTCCATTCCCAAATGATCTCTGCTAGCCTGCCCCTTCCATTCCCAAATGATCTCTGCTAGCCTGCCCCTTCCATTCCCAAATGATCTCTGCTAGCCTGCCCCTTCCATTCCCAAATGATCTCTGCTAGCCTGCCCCTTCCATTCCCAAATGATCTCTGCTAGCCTGCCCCTTCCATTCCCAAATGATCTCTGCTAGCCTGCCCCTTCCATTCCCAAATGATCTCTGCTAGCCTGCCCCTTCCATTCCCAAATGATCTCTGCTAGCCTGCCCCTTCCATTCCCAAATGATCTATGCTAGCCTGCCCCTTCCATTCCCAAATGATCTCTGCTAGCCTGCCCCTTCCATTCCCAAATGATCTCTGCTAGCCTGCCCCTTCCATTCCCAAATGATCTCTGCTAGCCTTCCCCATTCCATTCCCTAATGATCTCTGCTAGCCTGCCCCTTCCATTCCCAAATGATCTCTGCTAGCCTGCCCACACCTTTATTTCTAGGTCTCCGAGCTCCAATCTCGCGTTGAACAGCTCAAAGACGCCGTCACCGAGCTGACAGCGGCAAAAGAAGATGAAGAGGGTGAGTTCACAATACCTTTAAAAGCATTTCCTGTCTCTATCCCTTTAAAGGGACGGGGAAGGCATGGCTATGGATTTTGTTGGCTATGGATTGGTTATGGATGTTTCCGCACAGGAAAGCCATCGGAAAGGGCTCTTATTTGATTACGCGACTAAATCGGGGATAGCGGGCGTAGCCCGCTTTACATTACGTGTCGTAATCCGTTGAAAATCCATCGCACAAGACCCATAAAAATTCTTTCCACGTCCCTTTAAACCAGTCACTCGCTTCCCCTCCCTCCTATCGCTTCAACCACCCCGCATGCAAATTTCCGGACCAATTTCCCGATTTATGTTGGTGATTTTTGGTGGTTACCGTCTCTGGGTATGCAAATGGGCAAGGCTCTGTGTTTACTCTGCGTCTCTCGTCTCCCTCTCTCCCTCTCTCCCTCTCTCTCTCTCTCTCTCTCTAAAATTAGCTCCACCCCTCACACAACACGCGTTCCCCACCCAGCACACTAATGAAATTCTAACATTTTTTTTGTTTTGTTTTGAGAAAAATATATTGACTTTTAAAGGGCTCCGAAAACTGGTCCACCCGCAACTGTGTTGATTCCTGGCCAATAGCCAGGCCCCGCGTCCGCATCGCATGTTCTTTAGTCCCCGTTCGGATGGCAAAACCAGTGAATTTCCAAATTCTTCCGAAATTAAAATCATAAGCGAATTTTAAAAAAATTGATTTTGACGATTTTAATTAGTGTTAAAGGGGATAGCAGAAACATCTCCGATTAGGGACAGAAGCGCTTGCGCCGCGGTCATGTCTTGTTGCGTCTGTATCTGGCTTTTTGGCCAGCATCAAAGCGGAATGGTGGTGAAGGAGAATTTGGCGGTTTTCGAAATCTATACCTTTGGGGGTTCTTTAGGATTCGCGGGGGGAAGTATTCCCGGGGGGAAACCAAATTTTTTCGGCACAAGCCTAGATTTTTTTATAAATTGCGGATGCGTTTCTAAATTGTTTTAACTATTCCTGAGCATAAAAACTACACACATTTTAACCAACAAAAAATTTAAAAAAATAAAAATTGGGTCGAACAATCCTATAGAACCTTTAGGATTCGCGGGGGGAAAGACCCAAAATGACCAAAGTTTCGACTTTTTCAAACATTTTTCTAAATTTTTCTGAAAGTTTTTCTACTTTAAATATAGTTAAAACTTACTAAAAACCATTCAAAAACCGTTGTTTTCAAAGTAACTTTCAACAGTTTCCCAACTAACTAACGCACAATGCTTTACTGTTCCTGACTGTCTAAAAAAATTGACTGAATTTCGATTTAGCATTTACCTGACTAACGCACGATCTACCGTACCCCCGTTTATCCACTCTTCCGAGTGCACTCTCCCCCGCCTATTCTATCATCGGTTCCGGGTGGCCTTTTTTGGGTGTAATTGCGAGAGCGGAAACCAGAGTAGAGCTGTGCCCATTTGCAGCCGAGACGGGGCGACGTCGCAACCTACGGACTGAGGTCGCCATTTTAGCCGCTCGACTAGCGACACGACAGGCGGATGTTGATGCACTTTTCCGAGCCAACGCCGACCTGGCACACACCAATGTCAGGCTGCAGAATGAGATTGATGAGATGAGAGAGGCGGCGACGACTTCGGCAAGTGCGGAGCAAGCCGAGGTTGGTTTTTCAGAAAATTTTGGAAAATCTTAAAACGAGCCTGCGAAATCAGAACTCATTGAACTCGTTCAGCCGGCTGAAGCTGAACATCTTCGCCACCAGCTCACCGGCTTGGAGCATCAACTTCACGAAGATCGCCGTCGCATCGAGGAGCTTGAGGCTCAACTGGCTGAGGCCCGGAATCGAAGCGGCATCCTGGCTGCTCAGCTCGAAATCAAGGAGCATGAGCAGCAACAGCAAGCATCTTCTGAACAGCTTGATGAGGTGGGAGAGAGAGAGAGAGAGAGAGATAGTGAGAGCGAGAGAGCCGAAGAGAAACTCCAAATTTAAGCTTACCCGGCTTCGTGACGTCGAGAAGCTGCTGAACAACACGATCTCGAGCTTCGAGGACAAGCTCCAGGAGGCCGAGGAGCGGATCAACGACTTGGAGACGGCGCTTGATGAAGCACAGGTAGGCTAAAGATCCCTCTCTCTGCCTCTCTTTCTCTCTATCGTTCTCTCTCTCGTTCTCTCGTTCTCTCTCTCTCTCTCTCTCTCTCTCTTTCTATCTCTCACTCGCTCTCTCTATCTCTCTAACACCCCTGCTCTAGACAAAACCCGTCGAGCCGGAACCTGAAGTCACCGAAAGCGCGTGGGGCTGGGGCGACGACCAGCAAGGAGAACCCCAAGCAGTTCAAGTTCCGGTCACCTCACTTCAAGCCGCCACTCCGGAGCACCAAGCCGACTTGGCCAAACTCAAAGCTCAAGCCGCCGAGGCCGAAGAACGCGCCGAGTTCGCGGAGTCCGAACTTCAAGAAGTTCGAGCCGAGTTTGAGGAGCTGATGAACGTGCTGACAAAGTTGAAGCTCGAGCAGAAGGCGTCTGCGGAGAAGATCAACGAGTTGGAGGCGAAACTGGCAAGCGCTGCCGTAACCGCGCCCGTTCCGGAAGCCCCGGAGACGGAAGGCTGGGGAGATGATGATTGGGGGACTACGGAAACTACCGTACCACCCGGAGCTCGAAATTCCGAGGCTACGGAAGCCCTGGAGGAGCTGCAGAATGAGCTGGAGGAAGAGAGGCAGAGGAAGGAGGAGCTGGAGAAGGAGAAGCAGGAGTTGAATGTGAAGGTGCAACGTCTTTCTGCGCAGGTGAGGAATGGGTAGACTAGCAGAGATCATTTGAGAATGGCAGGGGCAGGCTAGCAGAGATCATTTGGGAATGGAAGGGGCAGGCTAGCAGAGATCATTTTGGAATTGGACGGACATAAATTAGCTTAAGCTCCTCATTTTCAGCTCGACGAGCTCGAGACCGAGCTCCTCGACAAGATCGACGAGCAAGAGCGCTCTGCCGCCAAGTTCAAGGAGCAGATCGGGGAGTTGGAGCGGCAGCTGGCAGAGAACCCTAAGGAGGCTGCCCCCGCCGAGAATTGGGGCTGGGACGAGCCGGCAGTTGCTGAACAGCAAGCCGGCCAAGCCGACGAGCTAAAGCGAGCGCTAGAAGATCGAGAGTCTGAGAATTTGGCGTTGAGGGTGCGGATTGACGAGTTGGAGCACGAGGTGGGGAAGGGGAAGGGTTAAAATCGGAAAATTATAGCTAGTTTTCACGAAATTGGGATTATACGTTTAAAGGAACTTGCTAGTCAAAAATTTGCCCGATTTTTTTTAGCTTTTCGGTCCCTTTAAAGGCACCCGGAGGTCACGAAACCATTATATATATTCCGTGATTTCCAGACCACCGAAAACGCGGCCAACAAGTCGGAATCCGAGGAGCTGCTCCGCGAGCTTCGCGCCGAAGTCGAGGTGCTTCGTATCAAGGTCGAAGAGGCCGAGTCCGAAGCCAGCCAAGCCAAGCAGCAGCTGGAGAGGACGGAAGCTGAACAGAAGCCAGAGGAGACCGAAGCGGAAGAGAGCTGGGGATGGGGTGATGAGGGCAGGCTAGCAGAGACAAACGACTCGGAGGCGTTGCAGAGGGCCGTGGAACAGCTCGAGGGACAGGTGGGGGTGGATTCAAGATGTCGAAATCCTATAAAGCCGAAACCAATAATGCCGAAATTTCTATAAAAATTAAATTACTACAACACGAATTATAATTCCAAATTTTCAGATCGCCATCCTCACATCGGTCGCCCAAAACGAACGCGAAAACTCGGAGGAGCTGCTTCGCGAGCTTCGGGCTGAGGTTGAAGTGCTTCGGGTGAAGGTGGAAGAAGCCGAATCCGAAGCCAGTCAAGCCAAGCAGCAGCTGGAGCGGGCGGAGGCGCAGACGGCCGCCCCAACGGTAGCAGCAGAAGCTGAAGGAAGCTGGGGATGGGGCGAGGAGCAAGCGGAAACGGTTAGTTCTTTCTATTCTCTATCTTTTCTTTCTAATTCGGAAATTCGGAAATTCTCTCTATCTTTCTTTCTCTATCTTTTCTTTCTCTCCCTCTCTCTCTCTCTCTCTCTCTCTCTCTCTCTCTGATATCTCTCTCTTGCTACCTCGCTCTCTCTCGCTCTTTCCCTTTCTCTCTATCTCGCTCTCTCCCCCTCTCTCTCTCTCTCCTTTCTCTCTCTCTCTCTCTCTCTCTATCTCTCTCTCTATCCAAATTTCTAGGCTCCAAGCGACACCGAAGAAACGTCCCGCTTGGTAGCGCTCCTGAAGGCCAAGGAGAGCGAGCTCGAGGACGCAAAGCAACTCCAGGTTGGTCTAGCAGACAATCGTCTAGACAGCTGCGTGACACTCCGAATGGCGTGTATAAATCTGAACTAGTGACCCGACGCTTCGTAAAATTTATTGTTTTTGCGTGCGTCAGTTGGAATATCGCGTAGTTGTCTAGACCTAGTCGATGGAGGCGTCGATTTAGACGTTTCCCAGTCCCTTTAAAAAATTTTTACCTTGAATTTCAGGAGGAGCTCGAGACAAAAATCTGCGACATCGAGGAGGAGCTGGAGCGGCGTGCGGGCGAGGAGAAGGACCTAGAGGCTGTGCGGGCAGAGCTGGACGCGGCGAAGACAAAGTGCGCACTGTTGATGGACAGTGAGGGACGTCTGCTGGATCAAGTAGATGAATATGGGGCTCAAGTGGAGACGCAGCAGCAGGTAGGTCAGATATCTCTCTCTCTCTCTCTCTCTCTCTCTCCTAACCGTCGAATTTTCAGGGAAATCGACCGACTCCAACAGGTGATCAAGACCCTGGAGGCGCAACTCTTCGAGAAGGAGGCCCTCGAAGAAAAGCTGGCAGCGCTTGAGGCTGAACTCCGCGAGGAGCAGGCCAAGGGGTAAACTGACACTTTCTGGATAAATTAATTCCTTTTTCAGCCTGGTAGATGACCAACACGAGGAAGTAGAAGAGCTGAGGGCTGCACTTCAGCAGCAGGTTCAAAATGCACTTCTCCAACTAACAATTATGATTTAGGAAACAAGAATTGAAGCCTTGATCGGTGAAAAAGAGGAGCTGGAGCTCAAGCTCAAGGAAGCTGGGGCGAGGATCGAGCAAGTGCAGAAGGTGAGAGAGAGAGAGAGAGAGAGAGAGAGAGAGAGAGAGAGAGAGAAAGAGAGAGGAGAGAGAGAGCGAGAGAGAGAGAGAGAGAGCGAGAGAGAGAGAGATAGAGAGAGAAGGAGAGAAGGAAAAAGAGAGAGAAAGAGGGGGTGGAGAGAGCGACAAAATGAACATCTCCTTCCAGGAGCGCGACGCCGCCAAGTCGAAATACGACGAGCTGCGCGCCAAGCTGCTCGCCAAGCGCAAAGCTGCCGCAGCTGGGGCTTCCGAAGCTGGCAGACCTCCATCTTCCGCTTCTTCCACCCGTGGCTCGCTTGCTGTCGACACCCGGCAAGAGGTGTGTTTTGTAGTCTTTGTTTTGTAGCTCTCAGGCGGGAACAAAAAGTCGTTAGAACTTTTAAAGGAGCCCTGAAGCCGAGCAATTTTTCAGGAACACAACTTTGGCGGCTCCTCCTTCTCCCCGATGCCTTCGCACTCGCCGGCCTCGTCGACGCAGGTAAATTGGCATTAAGAATTTTTTCGATGTAGTTTTTGAATTATGGTTTGCAATATTTTATAAGGAAAAAGCATGAAAAACACTGGGAAGGAGAGGAGGAGATTTATTGAAAGCACATGCACCGGTTTAAACTACGGTTAAACTTTCATTTAAATGATTTTAAATATATAAAATCAAAATGGCTTATTGCTTTTCAATTTAATTCAAATTTTTAAAATTAAATTTTTGGTCCAGATTAATTTTTAGATTAATTTACGAATTTAATTCAAAATTTGACAAAATTCAAAGTTAAAAAATACATCGCTAGTTTAATTTACAATTCATTTTCTGAAAATGCAAAAATCTGAGGCAGAATTTTAAAGTTATCACCGTGGTCTATTTAAATTCAATTAAATCTAAATTTAAGTATTCCAAAAACCAGATTTTCAAATTATCGAATCAAGATATATGTAAAATTAAATTTTTCAATTTCTCTAAGCCGAAGAAATTTTTATTTCGCGGCGGTGGTCGGCAGGGGCGGTTCCTCGCATAAAAAAGTTGGGCACGAAAACTACAAAAATTCCAAAAATTAGATCTCTCACTACCGTATACGCTTTCGCCGGCTCCTTCCCAGCGTTTTTCGGCGAAAAATTTGCATAAAATTGCAGCATTTTTGGACGTTTTTTTACTCTGAAACCGGTGCCCAACTTTTCTTTGCAGGGCTCCACCACGTCGGCCGCCACCGCTACGCAGGACGCCTATCGACGGCGACGGAACTAAGCTGATTTTTGCGATTTTTATATGTTAATTAATTTATATGATTTTTTAAAATATTATTTATCGATTTTCGGCTCAATTCTTAATTGTTTTTTTGATTTTTTAGTAATTAATTTTCATGGGTTTTCCAGCGTGCCTTAATTTATGGAAATCCGGCTCATTGGCATCGCCCAGTTCACCAAAAAAACGATGATATCTCGTGAAAACTGTGATTTTTCGGGAATTTGTGAATTTTTTTGCTTTTAAGTGGGTTATAATTAGTATAATTCAATTTTTCTAATATTTCTGGTTCTAAAAAATCCCCCTTGTGAGATCGAGTTGTTCTTCCGCTTTTTTCATGGGTACCGTACGATTTGAGAATTTCCAAATTTATGTAAGCTTAACTAGGTAATTTATGCCTCTTTTTAAACTAGGTGAGTCAATAAAAAAGTTAAAATATTACAAAAACACAAAAAGACATCACGAAAATGCAGTAAATGTTCTCAAACTGCAAAAAACCACAGAATACCATGTGAAATTATCGCTATCCAAATGGCTTTTAAAGACGCCAAAAATAATTGCTTATATTATATTAATAAAATCGCTTAGAAAAGCTATAAAATGCAGCACCAAAATAGATGTAAATTAAATTTCAGTCGATACACCCAGAATTGGCGGACCAGGTCCACGATATCATCAGGAAGATTCGACAAATATCAGTCAAGCGAAACGTTGGATTAGGTACGGCCGCTCTCTCTCTCGCTCTCTCTCTCGCTCTCTCTTTCTCGCTCTCTCTCTCTCTCTCTCTCTCTCTCTCTCTCTCTTTCTTTCTCTCTCTCTCCATCTCTCTCTCGCTAACTCTTTCACATGCTCTCTCACTCCTTCACTCTCGCACTCTTTCTCGCGATTCCTCTCTCTCTCTCTCTCTCTCTCTCTCTCTCTCTCTCTCATTTTCGCTCTCTTTCGCTCATCGCTCCCTCTCTAAAATCCAAATCTTTTAGGTCAATTCTCAGCCGTTCTGCAACGCTTGGCTACTGTAGAAGCCGCTGAAAATCCTCTGGCTCGGCAGCAAGATGCTGAAAATCAACCGGAAGAACCGGAGAATCTAGAAACCAGCGGTAACATCCAAAAAACAATTCATAAACCCCGCTTCTTAGCCTCTCCCCTATCCCCGGAAATGGAGGAGATTTGTCTGGAGGATTTCCGGCCGACAACTGAAGCCGAACCAACGATGGCCGGTCGGGAGGATACGGTAGGTGCAGCGCAATACAGTATTTTGGCGCTATTTGTATTCAAAATTGACTTTAAAACCGATTTTTAGCGTACCGTGTTGCTTGAAATGCAAAAATTGAGGGCCGACAAGTTCGAGCAGGTCAGTTAGTAAATTTCACGGCATTTGAATCCGTTAAATCTGTAAAATTGATCATAAGATCGACAGGATGATCTATGAAACCTAAATTTTTAGGAGGCCGAGCTACGTGAGCTTCGCCTGGAGCTGCAAAGCCTCGGCGCTGAGTTGGAGCGCTACCAGGTGTTGCTAGCGGCTGAAAAGTCGGAAAACAACCGGCTCGGCGATGAGCTGCAGCGACGGATGGGGGATCTTCAACAAGTTCAAGCTGCTGCTCAAGCTAAAGCGGAAGCCAGAGCCCAAGCGGCCGAAGCCCTCGAAGCCGAAGCCAACCGATTAAGCAACGAAGCTAGCGCCGAAGTTGAAGCTCTGAAGCTTGAGCTCGAAGCCAAGCTCGAAGAAATCCAGGAATTGAGATCGGAAAACCTGAAGATAGCTTCGGAGGCTCAAGTTTTAGAAGCCCAAGCTGAAACCGAAGCCAAAGCCCAATTCACCGAAGCCCTAGAAGCCGAAGCGAACCGGTTACGCAAGGAAACTAATGCCCAAGTTGAAGCTATGAAGTTTGAGCTCGAAGCCAAGCTCGAGGAGATCCAAGAATTGAGATCGGAAAACTTGAAGCACGCTTCAGAGGCTCAGCTTTTGCAAGCCCAAGCTGAAGCCGAAGCGAGAGCTCAAGCGGCCGAAGCCCTGGAAGCCGAGGCGAACCGATTACGCAACGAAACTGGCGTGGAAATTGAAGCTCTAAAGCTTGAGATCGAGGCCAAGCTCGAGGAAATCCACGAATTGAGATCTGAAAATTCGAAGTTGGCTTCGGAGGCTCAGTTTTTACAAGACCAAGCTCAGGAAAATAGGGAAGAAATGACGACGCTACAAAGCGCTTCAAATGACGATCTCCTTGCTCGAGATTCTGAGATAGAAACTTTGAGCTTGGAGCTCGAAACGCTACGTACCGCTACGCAAATGGTCATGCAGGAAAAGGAGACTGAACTTGCGGCTCAGCTCCAAAAGATTGCGGAGCTTGAGGCTGAGCACCAGCGACTGCGCCAGGCTACAAATAACGAACAACAAGTTCGGGACAGCCAGATTCAAGAGTTGACGTCTGAACTCGAAGCGCTACACGAGACTACGCAAGCCGAGCTGAAGCTGCAAAAGGCAGAAATCGAAGATCAGCAACAGAAACGCGAGGAGCTTGAGCAAGAGCTTGACCGGCTACGCAAAGCTCCAAATGACGCGCTGCAAGCCAGAGAGGACCAGATTGAAGTCTTGACCTCTGAGCTTGGCGCACTACGCGAGAGTACGCAACTGGAAACCCAGGAACATCAGCAGAATCTCAAAGCGCTTGAGGAAGAGCTTGAACGACTACGCGAGGCTCCAAACGACGAGCTTCGTGCTCGAGACAACCAAATTGAAGCGTTAACCTCAGAGCTTGATGCACTACGTGAGAGTACGCAAGCCGAAGCTCAGAAACAGCAACAGAAGCGCGAGGAGCTTGGACAAGAGCTTGAGCGGCTACGCGAAGCTCCAAATGACGAGCTGCAGGCCCGAGACGACCAGCTCCAAGCCTTAACTTCACAGCTCGAAGCCCTACATCAAAGCACCGAAGCCGAAGCTCAGGAGCAGCTCCAGAAAGTTGCGGAGCTTGAGGGTGAGCTCGAGCGACTACATGAGGTTACAAATGACGACGCCCTTGCTCGGGACAACCATATAGAAACCTTGAAGTCGGAGCTCGAGGCGCTACGCGAAAGCGCGCAGTCCGAGGTGAAGCTGAAAAACGCCGAAATCGAAGATCAGCTCCAAAAAGTCGAGGAGCTTGAGCAAGAGCTTGAACGGCTACGTGGCGCTCCAAACGACGAACTTCTAGCTCGAGTCAACCAAATTGCAGCCCTAACTTCGGAACTGGAAAGCAAGGAGCAAGAGCTCGAACAGCTTCGCCAAGCCGCCTTTGATGAATTTGAAGCAAAATCGCGCGTAATCGAAGGACTAGAAGCTGAGTTGAAGCTAAAAACTGACGACTACGAGAAGCTACAGGCAGAAATCGATGCCCCACGAAACAGTACTCAAGCCGATATCGCTCAAAAGGAGTCTGAACATCAGGCTCAGCTTGAAAAGCTTCAGGAGCTGGAGCATGAAGTAGAACGACTACGCGCCGCTTCTAATGACGAGATTCTGGAGAAGAATTCTGAGCTGGAGACGCTGAACCTGGAGCTCGAGGAGCTACGTAGCTGTACGGAGGACGTCATCACGAAGAAGAACGCTGAAATTGAGACCCAGCTTCGGAAGGTTGGTGAGCTTGAGCACGAGCTTAAGCAGCTACGTGACGCTTCTAACGACGAACTACAAGCTCGCGATGACAAAATAGATGCATTGACCGCAGAGCGCCAGGCGCTACGAGAGTGTACGCAAGTCGAGGCTCAGGAACAACTTCAAAAGCTTGGGGAGCTTGAGCAAGAGCTTGCACGGCAACGCGAGGCTCCACATGACGCAATTCAAGCTCGAGATAACCAGATCGTAGCTTTGACTTCAGAACTCGAAGCACTACGCGAGAGTAAGGAAGCTGTGGCTCAGGAGCAGCTTGTGAAGCTTGGCGAGCTTGAGCAAGAGCTCGAGCGGCTACGCGACGCTCCAAGTGACGAATTACAAGCTCGAGACGGCCATATCCAAGCCTTGATGTCAGAGCGTGAAGCCCTATGCGAGAGCACTCAAGCCGACGCCCAAGAACAGCTTCAAAAGCTTAAGGAACTTGAAGAAGCCAACCAAGCCCAAAGCCTGCAACTTCAGGAGTTTGAGCTACTACGCACGACTACAGACGACGAATTGCAAGCAAAAATTGTGGAGCTAAGCAATAATAAACTCGAGCTTGAAGAATTACGTGCAGATTTCGAAAGGCTACGCCAGAGAACGGAGCACGAGGTGCGCCAGAAGGCAGAGCAGATCCTGATCCAGCAAACGTTGATTGATGAGCTGGAGACGGAGCTTGGAGTGCAAAGTACAACAGCTACAAGCCACGGAAATGAGCTGGAAGCTTCTCAGAATAGGCTTGTGGAACTTGAGCAAGAGCTGACCAAAAAGAACGAAGCTGCTGAAGCCAATTCTGAAGCCATGGTAAGATACCAGAATTTGGAGCCGGAGCTTCGGGCGCTGCGCGAGGCAACAAATGACGCCGACAGCAATCGTACGGAGCTTGAAGAGGCTAGGAAAAGACTTGCCGAGCTTGAGTACGAGCTTGGTGTTAAAAACCAGGCACTCGACAGCAAGCTTGAGCACGAAGCAAAGCAGAACAACGAAGCTGACGAAGCCAATGCTGAAGCTCAGAATGAACTCCGCCAAAAAGCTGAGCAGATCCTGATACAGCAGACGTTGATCGACGAGTTGGAGGCGGAACTTGAAATGCAAAGTTCAACAGCTAAGAGTTTAGCAAATCAGCTTGAAGGCGCACATAGTAGGCTTGGCGAGCTTGAGCACGAGCTTCTTCAAAAGAACGAAGCACTAGAAGCCAGGCTTGAGCACGAGTTTCACCAGAAAAATGAAGCCAACTCTGAGGCATTTACGCGCTGCCAGCTATTCGAAGTCGAGCTACAGGAGCTACGCCAGGCTGCGGATGAGGCTGCAAGCCAGCGCAGGGAGCTTGAAGAAGCTAAGGAAAGACTTGCCCAGCTTGAGCACGAGCTTAGCGTCAAAACCGAAGCCCTTGAAGCCAATTCTCAAGCCTTGGCACGATCCCAAGAATTGGAGATCGAGCTCCAGGAGCTACGCGAAACACGAAATGACGCCGACCGCTACGGTACTGAGCTTGAAGAAACTAGGAGAAGGCTTGCCGCGCTTGAGCACGACCTTAGCGACAAAAACGAAGCCCTCGAAGCCAATTCTGAAGCCTTGGCAAGAAACCAAGAATTGGAGCTGAAGCTTGAGGAGCTTCACGCAACCACGAGCTCCGAGATTACGAAGAAAATCGAGGAAATCAAAGCCATAACCGAGGTCAAGCTTGAAAACGAAGCCCGGGCCGAGGGCCTGGAGGAGAAGCTCTGGGAGCTGGAGGAGGAGTTGCGGAAGCTACGCGACGCTACGAAGGTCGAATTGGAGGGGAAGGCGTCGGAAAATCGGGCTTTGGAGGTGGAGAATGAGGAGTTGAGGGATGAGCTTGATCAACTACGCGAAAATACTTTGGACGGTGAGCTTGAAGTCGTCCGGGAAGCCTTGGCAATAGCTGAAGTTCGAATTTTGGACCTGGAGGACGAAGTCGTCGAAAAGAAGGAGGCTCTAGAAGCGTTGGAATCCGCGAGGCTACAAGCTACACCTGCGAACGTTGCGAAAATTGACGGCCGACTACAAAATACACCCATTGACAGCATGGACCTTGTAGTCTCGGAGTTAATGGGACTACAAACTACGCCAAATGACACGGCGGAGGCTGCGCGTAGACTACAAATTACACCCCTGAACGCAGTCGAACCTGATGGACTACAGACTACACCAATTGACGCCGGACAAGAATTGAGACTACAAACTACGATAGAACCCCGACGACACGACGATACCATCGACACCTCAAGAATTGAAGATCTCCAGCTCGAAATTAAACAAAAAGCCAATGAAATCGAGTCCCTGAAAACCGAGCAGCACCTGAAAAATTCCGAATATGAGCATGACATCCAGGAGCTCGGCCGGGAGGTCGAGGAAATACAAAAAGCGGCCGAGGCCCGAATTCTCGGCCTGGAGAAACAGCTGGCGGACGCGCGAAAAGTGTCTGAGCACGAGGTCGAGGAGCTGCAGAGGTGCCGTGAGATCCTGGAAGCTGAAAAGGCGGAGATAATGGGGAGGTTGGAGGAGAAATCTGCAGAATTAGCGCGGTGCCAAGTCGAATGGGCGGAGAGGGCCGGATTTTATGAGATGAGGATCGAGGCGTTGGAGGGGGAATTGAAGGAGGCTGTGGAGGAGATTGGGAGACTACAAAGTACAACTGTTGACGAGGGAAAGGAAAAGGACGAGGAGCTGAAGAAGGAGATGGCTGGACTGGAGATACAGGTGAGTCGAAGAGAGAGCGAGAGAGAGAGAGAGAGAGAGAGAGAGAGAGAGGGGAGAGAAGAGAGCGAGAGACAGAGAGAGAGACAATTAGAGAGAGAGACAGCTAGAGAAACAAAGTTTTTTTAGCTCTCTAAAGCCCGAGAAGAAGCCGAAGCGGCCGCCTGGAATCTGGCTGAGTCCGAGAGACAACTTCAAGACGTTCGGGAAGAAAATGGGGAACTGAAGCAGAAGGTTAAGACTGTAGTGATACGTTTTTCATTTCGGATTTAGCTAGCCAAGACGGCCTTGGAAGATCACGTCCAGGCTACGGTAGCTGAGACTACGGTGCCTCTTGCGTCATCACCACGAAGTGAAGAGGTCAGCGAGCTGCGGGCAGATTGTCTCCAGATGGAGGCACGGCTCCGGGGAGCGCATGACAATATTCATGCATTAAAGGTAGGGAGAGAGAGCGAGCGAGAGAAACAGAGAGAGAGAGAGAGAGAGAGAGAGAGAGAGAGGAGAGAAACAAAATCAACCTGAAAACCGGAAATTTCAGAAAGAAATCCACGGCTGGCAACAACGCGTGGAGAGCCGGGAAAAGTCGCTAGAAGCGTTGCGCGCAGAGCAGGACGTTATGAAGGAGCAGCAGCAGCACCTCATCTTTGAGAATGAGCAGTTGAGGTGGGTTGTCAAAACTTTCAGGCCTCCTTTAAACGAGAGGAACACCACAAAAATTCAGGCTCTCCGCGCGTAGCAACGACCCGACGGAGCGCATCCTGGCGATGGAGCGCGAGCTCGTGGAGACGAGAGCTTTGCTGCAGCGTCGAATTGATGGGGTATGTCAATTTCCGCCTTATTCTCGATCTCTCTCTCTCTCGCTCTCTCTCTCGCTCTCTCTCTCTCTCTCGCTCTCCCCCTTATCTATCGATTTCAGCTCATCGAGGAACTCCGACTGGCCGAGCTCGAGCTTGAAAAGCGCCGTCAAACCGACGCGGTCGCTGAGGGAACTCTGCAGAAGCATGCGGAAGCGGTAGAAAAATGCTAATAAGATATTTAAAAAAAAATTAATGGACAACAAAATTAATTTAATAAGAAACCTAAATAAAGAAAATTTAAAGCCAGACTATGGATTTTGATGTTATCTATATGATTTGACCATGCAACATCGGCCAAGTCCACCGCAAAAAAAATCCTGATTTTGCCTTCCCGCCCCTTTAAAGGGACCGCAAATGCAGAATTGATGCTATGGATTCCTTTTAAGGTAACGGAATGGCGTGCTCGTTGGGAGACAGCGGTACAGGAGGCTGAAGCTATGAGAAGATGTGCTGATGAGACCCCGAGGCTTCAATCGGCGCTTCATCAGGTATGGGCTCTCTCTCTCTCTCTCTCTCTCTCTTTCCCTCGCTCTGGCTCGCTTAACTTCTCTCTCCCGCTCTCTCTCTCTCTGACCTTACCATTCCAGAGCCGCTCCGAACACAACGAACTCAACCGCCGCCTGGACGAGGCTGAAGAACGCATCGCTAGAGCGCAACGCGAAAAAGACGCCCTCAACGCCCAGGTATTCCACAGTTCCGCAAACAGTCTCTGCTAGCATGCCCTACAAATTCACTCGTTTTTAGCTAACCATCGTCTCCCAGCAACTCGAAGAGCGAACGGATAGGCTGCGAAGAGCTGGCGACGCCAAGACGCAGAATATGTTGCGGTAACCATTTTGAAGCACAGTTTAATTTGCTTCCTTGCCCCTTTAAATACACTAGATACAGCGAAAATCGACCCTTCCATCGACTAGGTGTAGACAGCTACGCGACAACCAGTGACACGCGAAATCCCAAAAAACTTTTGAAAGTCACGTCCGCTGTGAACGTAGATTCAAGCCAAAAATGAGCTCTATGCACGTCTTTTAGAGCGTATTGTAAATGTCGAGACCTAGTCGATGGTAGGGGTCGATTCTCGCTCTTTCTAGCCCCTTTAAAATCCGATTTAAGGCTCGTCGAGCTGGAGTCGCGGCTGAACGCTTGTCGACAAACCATTGCTGAGCAACGACGGGCACTTGGGCTGGTGAGTGAGAGAGAGAAAGCGAGAGACAGAGAGCGAGAAAGAGTGAGAGAGAGAAGCAGAGAGAAAGAGAGTGAGAGAAAGAGGGAGATAGAGCGAGCAAGATACTATGCTTTTTTTCAGGCTGCCGACCAAGCCGATGCTCCCGGAACTAGTCGGGACACGGATTCAGAAGTCGAGAGCCGCGAAAGCTTGTTGGAAAAGTTGGTGATCGCCGAACAGCGGATACAGGAGGTTTGTGTGTTACTCTATGTCTCTCTCTCTCTCGCTCTCTCGCTTCTTTACTCCCAAAACAACTATCAGGTTGGAAAGAAAGTAATGGCACAAAATCTTTAAACCGCTGTAAAAACCCGCAGAAACGTCCGATTTGAAAGTTTGTTATATGATTTGGTAGATCTTCGGATGTTCTATCATGAGACGACCCTCAAAACACTCAAAAACTAATGTACGCGAAAATACAGGCCTCAAAAGTTTCACGGAAAATTAGGCGAAAGCTTCTAAGCGAGATATCTCTGCATACAGGCATTTGCATACAATACCTTTAACACCAATCGATAGCCCTCGAGGAGCAGATATCGATAGATGTTGAGATCATCAAAATAGGACACCGGATGACCGAGATATGGACCTTCCAAAATCAATGCATTTTCTGGATTTTGGTTTGGGAGCTGAAGCAACCGCAGCAGTTTTTGGCTCGCGCAGGCCTAAATGTATGGGATTTCGAGAAAAGTTCTAACAGGTGGACCAAAATTCTAGTGGCTATATCTTGGTCATCCAGTGTCCGTTTTTGATGATCTCAACATCTATCGATATCTGCTCCTCGAGGGCTATCGATTGGTGTTAAAGGTATTGTATGCAAATGCCTGTATGCAGAGATATCTCGCTTAGAAGCTTTCGCCTAATTTTCCGTGAAACTTTTGAGGCCTGTATTTTCGCGTACATTAGTTTTTGGGTGTTTTGCGGGTCGTCACGTGATAGAACATCCAAAGATCTACCAAATCATATATCAAACTTTCAAATCGGACGTTCCTGCGGGTTTTTACAGCGGTTTAAAGATTTTGTGCCATTACTTTCTTTCCAACCTGATACTTTTCAGCTGGAATCTCAGCTTTCATTGCTGACCAACCCGGAAGCTATCGATTCTCAAGCGCCAGTCAATGCCGTGGAAGCGGAAACTGAGGTAGACGAGGTGGAAGAGGCTGAAGAAGCAGCCGTGGCTTTGTTGGAATCATCAGCCGCTACGGAAGTGGATCTAAACCAAGATGAAGCGGAACTTGATCAAGAAAATGCCGTATGTCTTAGATTCCAGAATTTAACCCCATTAAACGCGCTAAAGGGGCGGGAAGGTTGCCAGGTTTGCCAGCCTCGTGACGCAACTTGGCGCACACGCGACACACACGCAACGCATATGCAACGCACACGCAACGCACACGCAACGCACACGCAACGCACACGCAACGCACACGCAACGCACACGCAACGCACACGCAACGCACACGCCACGCACACACCACGCACACGCCACGCACACGCAGCGCACACACACAGGCCACGCAACGGAATCCCTAAAATAACGGAATGACGTCGCGTGCGTCGCGTGTCGCGGTGCGGTACCCTAAAAAACTATGAATTCTATTATTTTGTCTTGCCAATCCCTTTAAAACTAAATTACGTGTCCTTAAAACCCGATTTAAACCTGAAAACTGAAAATTAAAGCAATTTAACAATTTTCAGGCCTCGCCCAGCTTCCAGTCGCCCTGGTGCTTCAACAACCCGGATTTTTAAAGCGCAAATTTTGCTCCTTCTACGATTTTTGTGTGTCTAATTTATTCCAATTTACCGGTCCAATTAATGCAGGTTGAATATATGCAAATTTGCCCCGTTTTTCCTGCTCAGCGAAATTAGGAAGAGCTTACCCAATGTATTGCCCTGAAAAATAGTGTAACTACCGTATCTTTGTATTCGATTACGCAATGCTAATTACCTGCCCAGAATTTTTTGTGCCTTTTCATTGCTGCTCACTAATAATTTGATAACAAAAAAATAGTTAAAAATCTGTGATCGTTTTTGCTATGGGTTTTTGCATAAATAATGATTTGGAAGTTTCGTTTTAAATAAATCTAAGTTTTAAAGCAACCGACACGGCATGCATTAAATAACGTATTTTACAGTGTTTTTAGTAGTTTTTCATTGCTAAAACATTAGAAACATATTAAAAAAAACTTTTGAACATATGAAAATGCTGGTGCTTGCTACTAATTTATATAAAATTTATATAAAATTTAACTAAAATGCTACTAATTTTTATAAAGTTATATTATTGTTAGTTATATTCAAATTGTATTAAATAAAAAGAACTTACATTACGTATAAAAATATTAAAGTAAAAGAAAAATACTGATTTTACTGAATTTAATCAAATTTCAAAACAATTTGTAAAGTGTAACAAAAGGCTTTATCCGCTTTCAATACTAGCATGGGGTCCGGTCAGGGTCATCTTGGGAAGCCTCCGGAACACTTGGAAGACCTACATTCGTCCAGTCGTGCTCCTGGAAAATGCGGCGTCAATATCTCATCTCTCTCTCTCTCTCTCTCTCTTCGCTCTCTCTCTCTCTCTCTCTCTCTCTATCTTGCTCTCTCTCTCCCTCTATCTTGCTCTCTCTCTCTCTCGCTCTCTCTCTCTCTTTCTATCTCTTCCTCGCGCTCTCTTTCTTGCTCTCCCTCCCTCTCACTCTCTCTCTCTCTCTCGCTCTCTCTCTCTATCTCTCTCTTTCTCTCTCTCCTAGCGCTCTCTATCTTGCTCTCTCTTTCTCTCTCTCTCTCTCTCTCCCTCTCTCTCTCTCTCTCTCTCTCGTTTTTACCTCATCAACAGCTACCCCAGTCTCCCGCAAACAGAGAACGTTCAGCGGCGCGGATGCGTAGAGCTCGCGCAGCGCGACGATATCGTCTTCACCCCAGTGCAGCGCCGCCAGGTCTCCGGCTGTGGTCCGAGGACTCGAGAGATTGGCGTCCGGGGGCATACTGTAAGTTGTTGATACATAACGACTGTGAAAACCAAGCTTAAGTAAGCCGCCCAAGCCTAAGCCTAAGGTCTAAGCACAATCCTAGCCGCAGACAAAGCCTAAGCCTAAGCTTAAGCTAAGCCTAAGCTAAGCCTAAGCTAAGCCTAAGCTAATCCTAAGCTTAAGCCTAAGCCCAAGCAGCCTAAGCAGTCATTCGTCATTTGAAGGTATCTTATACGTAGTTAATGACGATACTCACCGTTTCTCAATAAAGTCGTAGAGACTGGCATTGTGCACCTCGCTTCTGCACGATTCGATGTCGACGGCCGGGTAGTAGAGAAGGTAGTTGATGCACATTTCCTCGACCAACCCAAGTCCGCTCTGAACTTATGAAAATGAAAAAAAACAGCAACGAGATGGTGTCGGGAAAAATTTCATTTTGTTTTGATGGCTTTTCGGCGTTGATTTTTGTATGTTTCGTGACGTACATAGGTCGGCGCGGTCCGATCGCGAGTGTCGTGCAAACATGTCGTTGCCAAGGTGTCTCCCTAAACTCGCATTTTTTAAGATTTTTGATTTATTAATGCCAAATTTATATTGTCTTTTTAAATTGCTGATTTTACGCATTTTTACATGACTCGCGCTAGGTGTTCCCTGCGGATTTTGTCGCGCCGCGACACGCAACGCGTTACAAGGCCAGCCTGGCACCAGCAAGGAGTTTTAATCGGTTACGCGGTGGAAGGGCGCGTTGCGTGCCGTAGGCGTGGCGTGAGCGCGTGCCGTATCGCGGGTGTGCCTCAACTCCCAGGCAACCATTGATTTTGGCCATTGCCATTGACAGCCAGAAAATTCCTGACCTTGCAGCTGCCCGCGACACGCAACGCTTCACTCGGCCTTGTCGAGACCAGAGCTAATCGATTACGTCATGGAAAGGCATGTGAAGGTGGCCCACAGCGTTCAGAAGACTAAGAAAAAGGTTCGTCGGGCGGGAACAGGATGGGAGAGGCGAGAGAGTGGGCGGGGGGTGGAGAGCCCAGAGACCCTCTCTGTTCTCTGCGTCTCTGCCCGGCAGCCTCCAGCCACTTTTGGCCGCCGGTTGCCGCCTAAAGCGTGCCCCAACCACCGTTGGCCGCCCCCAGGGTGCCTGCCCTTGTGTCTGCGCTCCGCATGGTGTACCCTTGGGGGCCCCCCTTTTCTGAACCATGTGGGCCGCGTTGCGTGCCGCGGGTGGATATCTCAACGCGTAGGTTGCGGGCGATCCATAGCCAAGATACTAATGATCTTGGGGCCCACGGTACGCAACGCGCCCACCTTTCCATGCGTAATCGATTAGACGTCGTTGCCTTTCGTATCTCGCACGCGGTAAGATACATGGTTTTGCCTTGCGCGTTCCTTGAAAATTGCCACATCAAACTATCGTCAACAACAACGGACCGGCAAAATCTGGAGGGGCGGATCGAAATGGGTGAGGCGTTGCCAGAAGGGCCAGTAGTTGTCGTCACGATTCAATTGGCCAATGGGAGAGCCTGGAATTTGAACGGTCTTGTCTAAACAGGCCTTAAAATACAGGGTGTCACAAAACCCACCCCCCCCCCCCTCGGCATTTGGCCGTCTTCTATCGGATCTGGGCCAAATTTTTACCAGTGATGCGGACCCATAAAAACTATGTGCAGCCAAATTTTCTAAGCAAAATATTGTAAAACTAAAAAGTTATCGCTTAAAAACTGATTTTTTTGAAAACGCTGGTACTCGTTTTGGCTATGTTTTCGCAATTAGCATGCGGATTTTGAGTAATTTTCCGAAAAATGGTCATTCCTCGGTCAGTTTCTGGCAATTAGGATAATAAAAAGTGATCAAAAGGCCCAATTTAAACGTTATTTTCGTAAATCAAAAAACTTCTACAGGTAGAAAAGAGTGCCCTCTTCATTTTTGCTAAACATTTCGAGAACGAATTTGTTGTAGTTGTGGGTGAGGTAGACGAAAGGTTTATTCCAGGTGAGGGCAGACCAAGCGGTGGGGGAAAGATACAGAACAATGAGGGGGAGCATCGACAAATGGGGGACAATAGAACCGGAAATGTAGCGTATGCTAATGAGGTATTCGGATCTGGGATGTAGTCCTCCAACATCTCCCTCCTTCAAAGATGAGCGCTGCGGACAATCGGACTTGAACGAGTTGAACTTGAGGTGGCGATGACGGCTTGACTTGAGGTGGGGAACGAGTGTGGCACATCAGCATGGGACCATTGAACTTGTCGGTGATGTGGGCGTGCTTGACCTGTCGAGTGGAACACGAGCGTGGCGCATCAAAGTTGGAAGCGAACGGTCTTCTTTCGGTCGCGCTTGCCGTCGAGAATGGGTCCGAGGTTTTGCAACTCCTTGGACTTGGCGTTTCGAGGGTGAACGTCTTCAGCTTGTCCGTCAGCAGTGGGTTGTCCTTGAGCACGTGAGTTTTCCGATGACGATTTCTTGGTACGTCCAGGGGAGGCCTTCTGATCCGGGATGGAACGATCCGATGACGACTTCGTGGTGCGTCCAGAGGAGGTCTTCTTATCCGGGATGGTGTGGTGTTGAGCGGGGTGATGGGGAACACGGGGCACAGGTACATCAAGAGTGGGGGCGGGTACAACAGATATGGTATCGGTGGCCATCGACATGTGGTTGGAATAGTCAAGAGGTGGACGAGTGTCCTGCACATTGACATCAGTACTGGGAAGATCGAATTCATCCAGAATATCGTGCAATACGTCTCGAACGTATCGACGACGCAGCTGATTGGCATGTCGGCGCCAAGAATCTCCAGAGGGAAGCTCAACCTCATACAGAGACTTTCCAAGTAGCTTGGAAATACGCCCTTCGACCCAGGCTGGTTTGTTCGGCTTTCGATAGTCGCGAACCCAAACCGTGGCGTCGATCTCAAACGATCTCTTGCGAGCACCGTGACGCCGATTGTATTGCTCAACCATCGTCGTCTTCTCCTCTTTTTGAAGAACGACTTGGACATTGCCGTTGCTCGATGGAAGAGCCAAACGCGCAATAGGAGTAACAAGCTTTCTCCCGATAAACAATTCAGCCGGAGAGAACTGTTGTGGCGAAGAGGGGCATGGAGTGGCCCGATACGTTCGCAAAAATACTTGCAACGTTTCCGCATTCGTCGAACCAGCGGCCTTGCTCAGTGCGCGCTTAAAGGTATCGACGAAGCGTTCTGCCAAACCGTTCGACTGAGGGTGGAACGGAGGCGTGCGTACATGCTTTATGCCACGCTCCATACAGAACTCTTCGAACTCCTTCGAAGTGAATTGAGTTCCATTATCCGAAACAAGCGTTTCCGGATCTCCGAACCTTGAGAAGATGTCTCTCAACTGGGCAATCGTCGTACGACTGGTGGCGACCTTACAATCGTGGATCTCTGGCCAACGAGAGTAGGCATCAACGAATACCAGGTACATTCTCCCGTCAATGGGACCTGCGTAGTCAATATGCACGCGTTCCATCGGACGATTGGGAATAGGCCAGGGGGTCAATTCACTTTTCACAGGCATCTTCTGCGCTTTCTGGCAGCCCTCGCATTCTCGGACAATGCGGTCGATGTCTGTATCCATGCCGATCCAATAGACATATTGTTTCGCAAGGAGTTTCATTCTGGTCTGGCCAGGATGTCCTTCATGGAGCATTTTCAGGACTCGCGATTGAAGTCTCTTCGGGACGACAACTCGCTCTTTCAGGAATAGGCAACCCTTGTGAATTGATAAGTTGGAAACGAGACTTTTGAAGGCGTACAAAGACGAGCCTGGCAAACAGTCTGGGAACGTTCCACTTTTCAGATATTCAATCACAGTGCCAAGGTGGTAGTCCTGCTCCGTTTGTGATGCAATTTCCTTGTGCGAAATTGGAACTCGGCTCAGTTTTTCCTCAAAAACTGCTGATACGTCGATTTCTATCTGCGAAATAACGACGTCTTCGTCAGGTTCAGCTTTTGGCGGAATCAGACGGGAAAGCGCATCCGCTTGACCGAACTTGGTCGTGTTACGATATTCGATGGAGAAATCGTAGTTGTTCAACAACAAGCACCACCGCTGCAATCGATTTGCGGTGTGCTGCGGAATGCCTTTTTTCGACCCGTATATTGGCAAAAGGGGCTTGTGGTCCGTCAGGAGCACGAAACGCCTTCCATAGATGTACCGATGGAAGCGCCGAATCGCGAAAATGAGGGCCAAGCCTTCCTTTTCAATCTGGCTGTAGTTCTTCTCTGCCACACTCAATGCCCTGCTGGCATGCGCGATGGCCTTTTCCGACCCATCCGCAAATCTGTGAGTGATGACCGCCCCAAGACCCTGCTCACTGGCATCAGCGGCGACGACAATGGGTAACTTGGCGTCATAGTGACAGAGCAACAAGTCGGAGATGACAATCTCCTTGAGCGACTGGAAAGCCTTTTCGCAGTCCTCATGCCAGACAAACTTTTTGTCCTTCCTCTTCAACTCGTCAAGCGGGGCGCGCATCTGCCGCATACGAGGAATGAATGACTGGTAAAACGATACCATGCCCAAAAAGCTTTCAACTTCCTTTAGACAGGTAGGTGATGGCATACTTGCTATCGCAGCCGTGCGTTGGCCATCCGGCCTTCGGCCTCGGGCATCAAGAATGAAGCCAAGATACTTCACCGAAGGCTGGCCGAACGAGCACTTTTCCATTTTGACGCGCAATCCGAACTCTTGGATTCGCTCAAATAAACGACGGACCCTGTCGTCATGCTCCTCCTGGTTCCGGCCGGTGATCAACAGATCATCCAGGTAGGCAGCGGTCCCGTCCAGGCCTGCGATCAAGTTATCCACAATTTTCTGGAATATTCCGGGTGCTGTTTTGACTCCAAATATCAGCCTTTGATATTGGAACAAGCCCTTATGAGTGTGGATTGTCAGGTATTCTTGGCTATCAGCCTCAACCTCAATCTGTAGGTACGCATCTTTCAGATCAATCTGCGAGAAGATCTGTCCACCATTCAGCTTGGTGAAGATGTCTTCGGCGGTTGGGAGCGGATGATGGTAATCCTCCAACGCCTCGTTCAAGCCTGTGGAGAAGTCACCACAAAGTCTCATGGTACCGTCCTTTTTCTTGACTGGTACGACAGGCGCGGCCCACTGACTGTAAGTGACCGGTTTGAGGACCGTCAACTGTACAAGTCGGTCGATTTCCTTCTCAATGGCAGCTTCCATTGAATACGCGACCCGTCGGAACGGTAGGAAAACTGGCTTTGCATCTGGCTTCAGCTGAAGCTCAGCCTTGGCCATTGTGCATAAGCCCAGTCCATCTTGGAAGACACTTGGGTACTTCAGGACCAGCTCCTTCTCGAGCATTGACTCTTTCAGTGCGACCTTGTTCACGCACAGCTCATCGAAGCACGAAGCGAACTGTGGCAACTGATTTATCCAATCAAGCCCCATCAATCTGATGTTCTTTGTGACAAAGCACTTGCCATGACCGACAATGCCTTTCACTTCGAAATTGGTATCGAAGCTTCCTTGCACTTCAATTGGACCGCCATTTGCAGCGCGTAATTGAATTTTGGATGGAATCAGCTGGGGGCAGTTCAATTTGCGCCAAACAGCTTCATCGATGATGGTGACGGCTGCACCCGTATCCAATTGCAAAGTGAAGCGAACGCCTTCGATTGAGAGCTCGACGTCTTTCCGACTCGAGTCTACGGCATTGATATGAACAACCATGTTCACCTTCGACTTCCAGTCTTTGGCTTGGTGATTTTTCGACTTCGAAAAATTAGCACCGCGAATATTGCCAGGGTCTGCGCGACACTCTCTTGCCCAGTGTCCGCTCTTTCCACAACGGTTACAGTTGTCATTCCGCTTGTCTCGCGGGGACCGATCATTGGTTTCCGGTCGCGACGAGTAACCCTTGCTAGAGGTTGACTCTCGCTCGCGTTTCCACTTCTTTCGGAAACCCGATTGCTGGTGAACCCGGTTCACGTTGGCATTTTGCATATTCTGCTCAACGACCATATCCATATTCAGGGAACTTTGCATATCGCATTCGCGTAGCAAATCGCTCAACTTGACACCATTCTTTGACTCCAGAATGTGCAACAGTCTCTTGCGGATCTCTCGATTTTCCTGATCGGAAAGTCCAGCAACGAATAAAAGACATTTCGTCTCGTCCTCGTTCATCTCCTTGACACGACCAAGCTCGTACAGCTTGTTGACGCGTGCTGCGTAGGAGTGCATATCCTCGTCGGCTTCTTTGGCCACACGGAATGCCAGAAAACGTCGACTGAACTGCGACATTTTCTCACCGAACATGTCTGTCAGCGACTTGATCATGTCGGGATATTTCACGGCAGACAATTCCGTTGGTCTTTCGTGATCCGCTAGGAGGCTATAGGCTTTGCCATCCAGCATACTGAGAACAAGGTGTTTCTTGTTATCCTCAGTGATGCGCGGTTCCGTGGACACGAGGTTATCAAACCTCTCGAGCCACTTTTCGAACGTAAGACCCTGGGATGGATCATAGTCGAACCGAACGAGTCGTGAGCAAAGGGCGCTCAGCTCGACCGCATCCAGAGGCCTGGGATGGCTTGGACCTGCGGATTTACCCAGAGGGTCTTCGCTAACTGTGCCCATGTGCGTTTGGGTCGCAGCGCGGTAGGCCTCGAGCTGTGCCTCCATCTTCTTCTCACGCTCCTGTCCTGCAGCCATCATCGCCGTCATCTGCTGCATCAGCGCCTTGATCTCGGGGTCGGCCATGTCTTCGAATCCTTGCTCGCCAGTTGTTGTAGTTGTGGGTGAGGTAGACGAAAGGTTTATTCCAGGTGAGGGCAGACCAAGCGGTGGGGGAAAGATACAGAACAATGAGGGGGAGCATCGACAAATGGGGGACAATAGAACCGGAAATGTAGCGTATGCTAATGAGGTATTCGGATCTGGGATGTAGTCCTCCAACAGAATTCCGTCAAAATCATGGTGAAATTGGTAAAATAAATCTTAATTTTGATATGTTTTCTTTGTTTTACAATATTTTGCTTAGAAAATTCGGCTGCACATAGTTTTTATGGGTCCGCATCACTGGTAAAAATTTGGTCCCGATTGGATGGAAGACGGCCAAACGCCGAGGGGGGTTTGGGACACCCTGTATGCGTCACCTATACCTTGACGATATATCGAAGTCCAGATCTTGGTCACGGTAAGATGGGCATGCAATAGGCTGCCAAATATTTTGATTCCCGTCGGCGGAAACTGAAAAATTACTGAAAATGTTTGCCTTTTTCAGGGCTTTGTTTCAGAGTTGTTTCGGTGTTTGTGAATTGGTAGGTATATCCCAGGTACAGATAAAAATCGGTATATAAAATCAAAAACGTCTCACCGTGCTAGTGCACTCGGGTGTGCAGAAGCCAGTGAGGGGGAAGTCCAGCTGCCCCTGCGGGATCATCATCGAATCCGACCAGTGCGTACCCACGGCCATCATCGCCGCGTCGAAGGGCCTGTCGAGGGCCCAAATCTTGGCCCTAAACCGGAAAACACGTACCGCAATTCGGGGGTGAAGCTGAGCCGCAGCCCAGAGCTATCGACGACGCCGGTGGTGAGGTTCGGGTTGTTATAGTGAACCTAAATATCGATTTTTGGCATTGCGGTATTCGATGTCCCTCAATCATCCAAAAGGGTACGGTACCCCGGCCGCCAATCCGAATGCCCGCTTCTGGTGGCAGAACGATGGCCTGAAAGTTCGGGTTTTGCGGCACTTCGAACAGTTCTGAAGCAAAAATACGCGTAGGGCTTGTCTGGGGGCTTCTCGCTGGTAGTTGCGGCTCCCTCGAAACGCAACGCGTTAACCGCCAATCGACCGCACAGGAAGATTGATCGATTACGCGATGCAAAGCCGAGAACATACCACAGTCAATCCGTTTTCCTTGTTTGTTTGTGCAGAAAATTCCGTGCGACAGTGAAATGCAACGCGCGAGGGCACCTCCTCGTTTCAGAAGCGCAGTTTACCCCTCCCCCCGGCCGGCGCCCAACTGCTGTATCTCGGCTCCCTGGTGGTCTACAGGCTTGTAAACCATACCAAAATGTTTGTCTTGCTCTGGCGAGTATTTTGGTATACTTTACACGCTTGTAGGGTAACGGGGAGCCGGGATATGGTAGGTCAGGGGTCGGCTGGGGGCCAAACTCGATTTCTCCCACGGTATATACCTCAGTCCCAAGCACCCATGCCGCTTGCACGGTCTGACAGCGTCGAACGTGTTCCGGCACGAAATGGCGGTCACTACAGGGCCCAGAGAAGGCGGCGCTTTCCAGCAGGTCGCATTTTTGGAGCTGAAAAATGTCTACAACCTCGTATCCCCGTCAGAGCCGATACCCTGACATGGTGCACGAGTCGGTCGTACGGTGGATCGGGAATGATCGGTTCGAGCTGGAAAAGTGGAAAATCTTACTTGTTTATAGGAAAGAAAATAAACGCGGGCACATTTTTACCTTGACGAGGTGATGGGCACGTTGCAAAAGGACACCGGGAATCGGCTGTAGCTCGCACCATAATGTTGTCAAGGCGGCGGGTACCTAAAGTTGTTAGCCGCCCACGAGGTGCAACTCACCTCCACACCAGCCGTGACAAAATCGTGGCTGAAAAGGCCAGTGTCGTGCGCTTCCGATTGGGGCATCACAGGCGGAATTACCTGAAGCTAAGGGCTTACAACAAAAAATCATCGTGACCTACTCGTGCAAACGCCTGCTCCATCATCGCCCCGTCTTCCTGAAGCGATACCCCAGCCACCAACGGACGTTCGGAAGCGACCGCCAGAAACTGTACGGTGCCTTGCTGAAATGGAATTTCTTAGTTAGAAAATCTAAAAATTCGGCAACGTTTTGGCCAAAAAGGTGAAAAGCAGCCAAGTTTTGGTCTTACCTGAATCGCCACATCCTTCGGATCGCAGGTGACCAAGCGACGTGACATCACGAATCCCTAAAATTGAGTAAAGGCCCTAGGACAGGCATATTTCCAACCCTATTGCTCCTCTGTAGGAAACGACAATCCTGACTTTCATCCAATCGCAGAAGTTGATTGCCGTCGAGGTGATAGTTCTGGATAGGTTTATGTTGAAAAAACCATTTACCGTACGAAAATCTTCAAAAGATAGCAAATTAAAATTTGTGCGCCCACCAATAGCTTCGCATCCGGATCGAAGATGCAGAGATCGGCACTTGAGAGGTTTCCGTGTGTCAGGAAGCCAACGCCAAGCCAACGATGGACACTCGATGCCATAAAGCTCACATTTAGTTGCAGCGATTCGTTGCTGAAAATTAGATTTGTGTTCCTGTCGACCCGGCAACGAAAACCATACCCTCCACGTCCCATTCAATCGTCACATTAATGCCCGGGAATCGGACAACATGACCGTGTAAGGAAGCGCCAAAACACAGGATCCAAATCGCTAACAACATCTCGAAAATGGTCCCATTTGCCGTTCGCTACCCGAAAGTGGACCCATCGATCGCGCCGATGAATAGAACGCCGTGTGAAGTACGATAATTCGATGCATTTTTGACCGTAGCTTTTGCAAGCCGACGAGGGTTTGTCCAATCCAGCTACGAAACATGAGCGAAAAACACAGCGGCTGCTAGAACTCTCGCATTTAATGAAAATATCCAATCCCTACATCTTCAAGGCTGAAAATCGCGATTGACGGAGTTTGAAACAAACAGAAACCCGGTTCTTTCGCTGTATCGCGCCGGGGAACGGAACCTTTTGTAGGACCTATTTTAAAAAATGTCGAATATTGCGATTTTTTGAATATGGGCAACTTTTACCAAAATTTCTAGTTGTTTTAGCTATATTTTACAGTACCGGGTGTCCAAAAAAATCAACCTTTCTCGCGGGCCACAGTCATATCCGTTTTTGACGATGTATCTATCGAAAGCCTTCGGTGAGGCGAGAAACCATTCACTTGCCGCTTTGCAACATCGACATCTTAATGCAACGAGTTTTAGGACCAAAATCCGTGAAAACTGCAGATTTTATGTGAAATCCGCATGCTAATTGCTTACTCAAGCTAACAGGGTACGCTGCTGGTTTGACGCTTTTTTTAAGGGATTGTTTAACATCGAGCGCGGGTGTACAAATTTTTGTAAAATTACAGGGGTTGTTTTCTTGCCGTCTCGAGAGCTTTCAAATAGCGTAAGGATCATCGCGATACGAGCCTTCCCTGGATCGCTCGAGTGGGGTCGATTTTTTTTGGGGACACCCTGTATTAAAACACTTCCCATTAAGTTACTAAACATTTCTAGATTTTTACAGGAAAGGTTCGAGTAAAAGTTGAAGCGGCGGGTTTTTCTACCTTTAACGTTTTTTTTCAGGCAAATGTTTCTGACCGGGTATAGCCGATTTTGGGCGTAGCAGCGAGAAGGGATCATCCGGCGCCAGGAAAACTCTGAATTAACTAAATAAATATTTGCCAAGCAATTTTTATAATTTTCTGAACTACCATCTACACCATACTCACGTTTTTGGCTTGTTTTTTCGATAACCTCTCAGCGATACTTTTTTCAAGCGACGAACACCCGACAGTTCGGACTCAGTCCCGGTACTTCCTGACAAATAGCTGGGAAGCGTGGTTGTCCTGCGGCGGCAGCAAGTGCCCCCAAAAATTGGCTGATGGATCGACCATATGGGGACGAGCTTTCTGAAGCCGGGCCGCCGGGATGGCAATTGTGCCAAAAGTGTCTGCAGCCTAAAGTCGGTTCTACTCGCTCCCAAATTTGTCATTACAAGTAGAGGCGCGGTCGGTGCCTTAGAAAGTAGTTTCTTGTGAGGGGGCCGCGGGCCTCGCGGTCCCCCATATGCTGCCCACCGTAGCCCTTTTAAGCGGTCGTGCGGCAAGCACGCGCGCACTTTGCTCAACCGCAGATTTGACTGTAGGCGAAGCCTGTTACTTCATTTCCATTATATAACCTAAACTTGAGCCTAAGTTTAAGCCTAAACCTTTTTGGTGCTGTTTCTTGTATATAGAATCTTTAATGTTTATAAATTCACGGAAAAGCCCCGGGACTCCGATTCAAGTTTGAAATGAAAGGGCAAATCTTGTGAAACCTAAGTTAAGGCCTAAACCTAAGCTTACGTCTAAACCTAAGCCTAAGCCTAAGCCTAACCTAAGCCTAAACCTAAGCCTACGCAAAGCTACGCCCAAGGCCAAGCCTAAGGCCGAACCTAAGCCTAAGCCTATTATAAGGCGAAGCCTACACTTAAGCCTAAAGCTAAGCCTACTAACCCAAGCCTAAGCTTAAACCCAACCGAAGCCTAAGCCGAAACCCAAGCCTAAGCCTAAGCCTAAGGCCGAACCCAAGCCTAAACTTATTCTATTGTAAGCCTAAACATAAACCGAGGCATAAGGCTAAACCTAAGTCTAAGCCTAAGCCAAGCCTAAGCATAAGCCCATGCCTAGGCCTAAACGTATTCTAAACCTAAGCGTAAGGCTAAGCCTAAGTATAGGCCTAAGCCTACTAACCAAAGCCTATGCCTAAGCCTAAGCCCATGTCTAAGCCTAAACTTATTCTAAGCTTAAGCATCAACCGAAGCATAAGGTTAAACCTACCTATGCCTAAGCCCAAACCTACGCCTAAGCATATAGAACTCTACGTCATTTACCGTCTTGAAAACAGCCATGCCCAGTGCTCTTTCGCTCGTTACAACCAAAACCACATCCCGATTTGTGAGTAAGCAGGTTTGCGTAGAACCCCTTTGCCACGATGATACATATTCGGGGATGGGCTTTGTGGAGATGTGCGCCAGGCCACCGCGTAATTTTGCTATGAAAAAATGGGCAAAAATTGTTCAAAACCCTGTGTTATCCATTTTCTACTTTGTTTATGCCTTTTTTTTGTACACAAAACTCGTAAAAACCGACGAGAATGCGCCAGAAATCGCCCCTCCCCCGTTGCCAGAGATTTTGGTTCATGCGCATTATCGGGGGGGGTGGGTTTCTTAGAATCAAATTTTTAAATATAAGTGACAGAAGTGTTTCTAAGTTGCTTTTTTACTATTCCTAAATGTCAAAACATTAAAAAAAATGCAACAATATCGATTGTTCAATCAAAATTTAGACTTTTTCGTTTTTGGAAAGTTTTAGATAGCTTTTTTAATTTTAAAAATTGTTTATTTTACTAAAAACGTTATTTAAACCACTATTAAGCTACTAGGCATTTCTAGACTTATACAAAAGAATTTTGCTCCCCTATCATGCTAAAGAACTCTTAGTATGGTTTTTGACGCTCTATCCGATGGCAAGCTTGAATTGGCACGACAGGTCCCTATAGGGGAAAAATCGTTTCCACCCCCGCTCTTTCTCCCCCCCACCGTTAAGCAACCTTTACCCAATCTTTATAGTTCATTGTTTTTCCAAAAGCATTAGCGTTATTTTAAGCACTGCGCTTTTCTCTCTACCGTTCAAAAGCTTTGAACTTCTTTCTAGCAACCCGAAAATGCTCGTCCTCTTCGCCCTCGTCGTCGTCTACATCGCGCTCGTCTACGCCCGGGCCATCTGGGCGAAGACCCTCTTCGCCTGCGGGGCCCAGCAGGCCAGCGGTTTGCGGCAGTGGGCCGCATCTTTCTGTCGGTTATCATGTGCTTCATTAGCTTCATCGCTTACTGTTCAAAACGCCAAATTTTTAGTGGTCTGCCAGACCATCGTGGAGGTCAACGACCTCCTCGTCACCGTGCCTGGGCTGCTGGGCATCTACCGCGGCCCCGACGGGGACAGCTGGCTGGCCCGGGTTGGTCATTTTTGCTCTTTTATTCTTATAAAAAGCTAGGCTTATTGTGTGTCTGTAAAGTTTAAAAACGTGACGATCCAGGAGAATCTTTGCTTGCTTCAAGGACTTTCTAAGCTAAGTTCCAACAACTGCTCAAGTTTTCTTTTTTCTTAGAAACCAGTTTTTGAATGCTAAATAGCGGGAGTGTTTCTAAACCGTTTTTCCTATTCCGCATCATAAAAACGTTACAAACTTTCATTAAAAAATGTAAAAAAAATCGATTTCTCTACCAAATTGGCCGTACTTCGACCAAAATGTCGACTTTTTTTAAAATCTTTTGACGTTTTAGAGATATTTTCTAGTTAATATATAGTTATATCTTACTAAAAACATTATGAACATACTGCGTATTGAATTGTCGGAACCAAACGAAGCCAAAATCGGCTGCCGTTCTTACTGTAAAGTGTTTTTACTCAGGCTGGCGTTTCAGGATGGGAACAAGCCTACCTTGTTCAGAATTTTTTTGCTGATTCCGAATCCGTTTTCCAAATTTGCTGCCGACTTCGCGTTGAGAAGTCATTTTTGGTCTAAATTAAGCTTAAAAACGGCATAAATTCGGATGCCGGCCCACTATTCCCTGCCTGGGTCCAGGTATTGTTGTGCCCCTTATCTACCCTCCCGAAGCCCCTTCCCAGTTGGCACCATGGTGCATTGGTAAGCTGTTCGCTTGCCAGGCACAGGGCGGCGGATCGATCCCCGCCCTGCACAGTTTCTTTTGCTTTTTGCACAAAAACACATGATTTTTTGCATAAAATCGTGCTTTGACCTCTAAAACGCAAAACAACGTAACGTAACTAACGCAAAAAATCCAGATTTAGTCAATTTTTTAGCTTAAATGTCGAATAACTTTTTAAATAAAGGTCGGCAGTAAATTTGAAAACCATATTCGGAATCAGCGAAAAATTCTGCACAAGATAGGCTTGTTCCCATCCTGAAACGCCAGCCTGAGTAAAAACACTTTACAGTTAGAAACCATTTTTTGAGATCCAAAATGGCGAAAATGTTTCTAAACCGCTTTTTCTATTCCTGCTCATAAAAACTTTGTAAATTTTTATTAAAAATATAAAGATATCGATTTTCGACCAAAATGGGCTGCAGTTTTTGACCAAAAAATGCGGTTTCTAACCGTTTTAGACAGTACCATTCAGGCCACGATGACACTCTTCGTGGCCGCGAGGCTGGCCCAATGCACGACGGCAGTCTGGCTGTCGGTGGCCCGGATCGTCGCCGTCACGTGCCCGATCTGGTGGCGGGTAGGAATTTTCAGGACAAGCTTTAGGGGAATGCAATTTTAGGGGTTCCGGACTTCTAGCGGGGTGAGCGGAATTTTAGCGGGGAATTTCCTAGCCCCTTTAATTAACAGTCGTAGGATTTACATAGGAGAAATCAGTTATTTTTTTCTGATAGCTGGTTTAAAAAACGGCGGTCCCACGGTTCCCATCGATTTTCCCAATTTCCTTTTTAGAACAATGGGCAGCCGGCCGTCATCCCCGCGGCGATCGGCCTGATCACCGGCGCCACCGTCGTCTACACGGCCATCCAGCCGGCCGCCTTCCAAGAGATTGTGGGTTGAAAGTTTTTGGGGTATCATTGATGGTCACCCCTTATTCCCTTCCCAATTTTAACTAGCAATACAAAAACAAAAATCAAGTCTCCTTGGCAAACCGTTTTTTGGGCACCTTTCACTAACATGGAAACGTTTTAAAGTATCGGGACCTAGCTTATCTTTTGTAGAATTTTTCGCTGATTCCAAATCTGTTTTCAAAAACTGCAAAATAGCTTTGATGCAAAAATTATAAAGCTTTTACGTTTTTTGGCTCAAAAATTGTGGAGCGTAAAAAGCGATTATTTTGATCTTTCTGACGGATGTTCTGAAAACGAATCGTATTCAAATTTTTTTTGTCTATCGAATCGGTCTCTTAACTGAAAATTGTCGAAATTCCGAATTTTTTATGGGACTTGACGAAAAAGGGCGTATTTCGCACAGCTGTGCGGCCTCGAAGCCGGATGTTTCAATGAAATATACTATGAATTAGAAAATGGTATTTCTGGTATTTTAATGATAGGTATTAAAAAATGAATCAGGCAGTATTTTAGTAAATTAGTGCAGTAAAACAGAAAACGATGGCATTATGGCCCCACTTGGCGGGGGCGAAAATACCAACTGAAATGCTACATAACGTTTGAATCCGCAATATTTTGCAGTTTTTGAGAAAGGTTCCAAATCAGCGAAAAAATTCTGTACAAAATAGGCTTGGTCCCATCCGAAGAAGTCCGGACGACACGCGAAATCCTCGTCCCGTCTCCTTGTTAACTGGCACGTTGCTAATTCGATGAATTTTCAGGCGGCGGACTCGTGGATCGCCGTGGCGCAGGTGGCCGACCCGTGGCTCTGGGCGATGGTGTTCGTCGTCGGGCTCGGCTCGACCGCCCTCCACGGTAAGTTCTAATAAATGTACCTAACCTACTTCGTACCTCTATCTTGTCAGCAATCGGACAATTGTTTTGAAACGTTTTCTTTACAAGGAAAGGTAATTTTTCGTAAAATTCATTTTTCTAAAATTTTGGATGTAAATAGGAAAGCGTAAAAATGTTAAAAAGCATATCTGAATTGATTAGGAACAAATTTCGATTTCATCTTTCATAATACTAAAGAACTGTGGCCTTTTCGATATTTAGCCGGTTTTAGGAAAAATTACTTTCGGGGGAAAAAGAATTTTAAGAAAAATGCATTTAGCAAAAATGACAGTAATTCTATAACAATAGTCCAGTATTTTCCACTAACTAGTATTCAATTCAACACAGCGTTTAAATGCCGCGTTGTGTAGAATCCCATTTAAGCCATCGTCGCCATCGCGCTGGCTGTCACGCTGAAGCGACAGGGCCGCCCGTCCACGCGGCCGCTCCTGGGCGCGCTGCTCGCCATGGCTCGTGAGTTTTTTACTCCGTTTTTTTTGCGTTAGGACATCAGAACTTTACGAAATTGTATCGAAACCCCAAACCTTCTGAGGATTAGCAGATGAAATTGAAAAAGAGGGTCTGCGGCGGTGTCTCGAAAAACAATTTCTTTTTACTAACCTAGAAATTACGAAAATTACGTCTAAATTGGGACTTTTAATCACTTTTTATTATCAAAATTGACAGAAACCTTCCCGAAAATGACGATTTTTGGGAAAATTACTCAAAATCGGCATCTACTTGCGAAAAAAATAGCCAAAAATGAGTACCAGCGTTTCCCAAAGATCAATTTTTTAGCGATAACTTTTTTGTTTTACAATATTTTGCTTAGAAAATTCGGCTGCACATAGTTTTTATGGGTCCCCATCGCTGGTAAAAATTTGGTTTCGATCGGATCGAAGCCGGCCAAATGCCGAGGGGGGGTTTGGGACACCCTGTATATTCCGCAATAACTTGTATTCCAGCCAAGCTCTACGAGACCTGGATCTTGGTGGCGAGCGGCCTCCAGGAGCTCCACCCGGTGCACCTGTTCTGGGGGCTGTACGTTATTTCATTTTTGTTGCAAGTGTTTTATTCGATCCCTATTCTTCCTATCGTTTTACCGTATTTTTTTTACAGCTGCTTCGCGAACTTCGCGTACGGAGCGCTCCAGCAGGCCGGGGTGACGCTCTGCTACAGCGAGGTAAGGACAATTTTGCAGTAGCCGTTTTAGTGTTGCACAAGCCACATGTTTGCGTAGAGGCTTTTTGGTTCTGGACTGTTAGCGGGGGGGACCACTTATTGTTTTTCCACCAATACCTAATCTGTTGACGATATAAAATGCATTTTTGTAGTGTTTTTAGTAGTTTTTTGATTGCTAGAAAGTTACAAAAAATCGTTTAATTTTTGAGTAAGCCTTCCAAACTTTTCGTAAATTTATATTGTTTTTCTACATTTTTTATATCTAAAAACTATGTAAAATCCTAGAAAATTTTTTACATTTGCTTATAGGGCTCTACGAAAAAATAGGGGAAAAATGCCCCCCCCCCCGCTAACAGTTCAGAACCCAAAAATGTCTTGTGTATGATCAAAATTTTTCATCCAAAATCAAAAATTTTATATATTTACCAGCCATATTGTTTTCAGCAATCCCAGAGGATGCGCGACCGGCGGAATTGGCTGGTCTGGCGCGCTGGGGTGCGAGGCACGAGGCCGCCACGTGAACCGCGACGACCGCCAAGGGACACAGCCACCACCAGCGTTTGAAAAAAGCGGAAGTAAGGCAAGGAAATGTTTTTTTGAAAGTTAGGAAAGGACTATCAGGTGTCCTTAAAATTCGCAATGTTTTCTTTATTCCCATTTTCAATTCGATTTATGTATTTCGTTTATATTCATACTTATTCATATATTCATTTCGTTTTGCCTATGCAATGTATCCAAGTGGTGCTCCGATTTTTGCTCATCGAAATTAGCATGAGCTGATGTTTTTTATACTACATCAATTTTGTAATATCCGGAATCTTCTATTCTATTACGCGACGATAATGTATTTTTGCAACGAACTCTGGTCTGAATGTTTTTTGCCTTGCCATTGATGCTCATGATGTATAATACATGTAATTGCTCTCGCTACGGGTTTTTTGCGATAAATATTCATAACAATTTCGACTTTAACATTTTAATGCGAGCAGGCTGTGCAATTCCATCACTCGAGAAAGTTCCTAAGGAATCCATAGCCGTGCCTTGTTCGCCCAATTCGAAAGGATGTTGACAATTGAACTATGCACTCAAATTTCATTTTCGATATTTTCACTATTTTTCCGGATGTTCTCATAGCCATTCGATAGGGCGTCAAAAAATATACTAACAGCTTTAATACAAAATACTGTAAAATAAAATAGTTATAGCAAAGACCGGGGGAACCTCAGTTTGGTTTGGGTTTCAGTTTAGACATTTTTGGATTATTGGGCGCGCCTTTCGGCCATTTCTGTGGCTTCCGCTTCAGCATCTTCCTCAACAGCTCGCGGCCCGAGGTAACGGGCAGCCGCCAGGAACATCAACAGCCCAATCCCGTAGATAGACGCGTTGCATAGGGAGATTGTGCGCGTGCCGTCGACCGGGAAGAAGCGACTGAAAAAGGCTTTCTTTAGGCAGAAATAAGCATTTTTCAATCGGTTACGCAACGGAAAGGACTTGTGTCTCTCGTTTAACCGCATAAATGTAGGCATAAATTTTTGCAAAATGTTCAACAAAACGCAAAACCTACATGGCGAACAGGGGCCACAGCGCCGTGCCGACACCGCCTGCCGCCGACATCACGCTGTGCACCAGCCCCTAAAGCTGATGATGTGATCTATCAGGAATTCGTCTAAACGAACCGGATGGACAGGATTATAGATTTCTCCAGGGTTACGACAATTCCCTCACCTGCTGCCGATTCCCAAGCACTTCCGTGGTGATCGAGGTGAGCAACGAGTTGGCAATGGCCAGCGACGGGCCGTAGCAGATCACCATCGCCATCACGTAGAGAGGAAGAGGGATCCTGATACTGTTCCATTATCGTTCAACTGAAGTACCTTTTCGTGACGGCCGTCGTTATTTGCTGTGAGATTTGGGGGTTGACGGAAGGGTAGAAGGCCCAGGGGTACAGGGACAAGCTTCCGATGATCAGCATCGACAAGGCGAAGGCAAGCTGGCGACGATGATCACTGAAAAAGCATCGAATGTTGATCCAAGATGGCCTTTCTTGAAAGCGCACTCTCTAGCGCAAATTTTCAGCAGGTATTAAAGGGACTGGGAAGTGCAAGAGTCGACCCTCTCTGCAACAAGCTCTAGACAAACACACGACACGCCAAATGACGCCTGAAGCTTTTTCCACACGAATCCCTTTGGCGTTATTAAAGGGACAGTCAAAGCATAACTTTGGCGTTTTTGGCGATAAATTTCCTACGCAACCTCCCTACGCAGCTTCACCGTCCTGAAGCGGCCGTAACCCATTACGCATTGAAAAATCGTTGCCTAGCGCTTAAAATTTCGAATGAAATCAACTACGCCAAATTGCGTCATTTGGTGTTTCACGTATCTGTCTAGGTCCAGCCGATTCAAGGGGTCGATTCTGGTCTTTCTCGGCCCCTCGAAAAGCGCTTACATTTTTCGCAGCGGCGTCGCGGCCACGATGAGGCTGGCGGCGGTCCCGGCAAGACATTGGCCCGTCTGGATGGGCCAGTGGTAAACCAGAAACTCCGCGTCCGTCCACCCGTACATCGCCCGGGTCAGCGGGGCAGCAATCCTGAGAAGCGATGTTTCTTGCGTCACTTCCTGTAAAAAGCTTACATATACTCGGCTGCCGACGCGATCGAGACGGCAGCGTAGAGGTAGAGCAACAGGCTGAGGATGATCAAGTCGCTTCGACGTAGCCCAGCGGTATTCTGACTGTCCACCTCATCTCGCTCCGCCTGTTCCGGTTTTAGCCCCCGTTTGACTTGTCTTCCCGGAAAGTGGCGATGTACCACGACGAGGATGAAGCAGCTGCTCAGCGCCATCAACGCTGGCGGCCAGCTGTACTTGTCGAGGACGACGCCCGAGATGATGAGCGCGGGAACGTAGCCGAATGCAGCCTAAGAAATAGTTTCAAATTTTGAATGATTTGTACCTGGATGAACGGGCCGAGGGCGAGGCCCGTGATGAAGCCGGCCAGCTGGTAGAGACAGGCACGTTGTCGCTCATCTGCACCGACGCTTGTAGTGGCAAACACGCGGAATAGGGTGATGCTTGCTGAAGTTGGCGTCAAGGAAATAGGCAGTGTAAAATCGACCTCTCCGAACGGCTAGGTTAAGACATGATTTAGAGCTATTGATAATGACTACGACAAGCAACTTAGCACGATCGGACGCAACGGAGCGACACGGAATTTCACGCAACGGAGCGCAACAAGCAGTGCAGTGCCATAAAAATGTTACGCTACGCAACGTATATCGCAGTGTCGCAAAATACAGCGCTAACGCGTTGCGACGGAACGCGACGGAACGCGACGGAACGCGACGCAACGCTACCCTACGGAACGTACGGAAAATATAACGCTAGGCTATGGAACGTCCGGAAAATGCAATGCTCGGCTACGGAATGTCCGGAAAATGTTACGCTACGCTACGGAATTACATGAAAATGTTAACCCATAAATAGGTTAAGTTAGGCTACGCCGCATCGGTGAATAGATACGCAGCCTTCCGCAACGTAACTTTGAACATCGCAGCGTCGCGAACTACGATGCTACGCTAATGTAACGCAAAGCGACGCAACGCAATGCAAGCGCAGCACTCCTGTACTTGTCGCGTACGAGCCACTTACGAGCCAGAAATCCAAGCAGAGCTCTTGACGCGACCAGCACCACGTACCGCCACTCGCCGGCGACGTACAGCAAGGCGTAGAGGACATTTCCTAAAAGCTAGCATATAGCGAAAAATCGCCCCACTTCGATCGTCTGGGTCTAACCGACTACGTAACGCGCCAAATGACGCTTGTATGTAGGCACTATGTCGTACCTAAGGCGACCAAACCGACGGTGACTTTCAGCGGTATCCTGAAGCCGTAGTGCTGTTGGCACCAGCCGAAGAATGGATCTGCCTAAAGACCGATTTTTAATTTGGAGATGAGCGCACCAGGATGGAGGTGACCGCCTGCGTAGACATGGCACGTCCCAGCCATGCGACATCCGCGTGCTTGTCGAGCTGGAAAATTTGTTTCGAAGCCTTTATTTGCGACTTTATTTATCTATCTTTATTAGCCTATATTTCTAAAAATAATAATAATGCCGAAATTAATAATGTCGAAATTTAATAAAATTGACTTTTTCAAAACAGTTCCAAACAGTTTGTCCAAATAGCATTTTGTCGAAATTTCAATGCCTATTTCACCTCGATTAGTCATCTCGAACGTTTCGAAAAAATTCTAAAGTCTCGACAGCCCAGAACCCACGCTTTGCAAATATCCCCACAGGCCAGGCGTGAAAATGGATGAGTTGATGCCGAGGATGCAGAGTAGGGCGGCGGAGAGTGGAATCGCGTCCCATGGCGCTTCGTCCACGGCGTCGGGCTCTTCGATCATTGCCCTAGAAAAAAACGTCAACATCAAAAAATCTAGACCTAGTCGATGGAGGGGTCGATTCTCAAACTTGTTAGTGCCCTTAAAACTCACTGGATCTCAAAATCGCTGCCAATTGCTTTCAGATCTTGTGAAGAGGCTCTTCTACTCCGCATTATTGGCAAGAAGTTCTGATGACAGTGAATTTGGCGCTCTTTTTCAGGCTCCAGAATCAGAGTGCAGCTGCCAGAATCTCCATCCAAAATTCTAGTTGAAGCATCCAGTAGTGGAAGAGGGATGAAACTGCTTCCACGTAGGGGCGGAACTAACTACCCATCGCTGTCGAATCGACTCACGTCGTGAGAGCCACTTTGCATTCGATGTATTGTGTGAATCGTTAATCATATGTCGGTGAAAGGAACTTTCGTAGGTTGGCCTGAAAAAAAGCCGATAATATGTATATTAGACCATAAATGGCCAATTTTGGAAGTTTTTTGATACCCGGAGCACTGACTCGCCTTGTTTTAAAGGCTGGTCCCACCCGATGTTTGCTGGCACGGAGCCGGATACGGCCGCAACGTGACCGTGCCGCATGTTCTCCAATCACGGTTTCGAGACGAAAAACCGTGAGATTGCCACTTGTGACACCATTTCTGGAATCCAAACGTCATTTTAGCCATCAAAACCGATATTAAAGATGGTCGCTACCACCGAGATTGATGGATTGAATGCCGTACGTAGGCGTACGTTACGACATGACATTCGATGTGATCAAAAAGGCCCCGAGATGCCGCTCGAAAAGACTTCTGCTTTTCTAAAATTTCGTTTTGGAGTTTTTTGTGATTGAATGTTATCCCAGCAATCGAAATGTCACCGTTCTAGCCCTTTTAAGTAACGCAATACGGTTTCACAGGCTACAAAAGAACATCATGTGCATCGACGTCGCATGGATGACAAGACCTAGTCAACCGAAGGGGTTGTTTTTCGGAAACGGAGGTCGCTTACTCAACAAGAAATGAATTGGTATTCTGGTTGGCTATGAATTGCGATAAAATCCATTTGTTGAAGTGGCGTTACCATCAAGAAGAAAAATCACATGAAACCTACCTATTATTGAGACTGGGTCTCGACAGCGGTGCGACAGGTCAAAATACGAATGCGCTGTCCTTCCGCAATTTTCCGTTCAATTCCTAAGCGCTGTGAATTTCGAACTTTACCTGAGGTTCAGTCCTTATGAGGCGCGTATTTTGGAGTGCTGTGTAGTTTTCTGGACCCAGTCCTTGGAAGGGGTTGAGTTTGGGACGTTTTAGGAACTTCTTGGCCTCTTTCCAATTTTCAAATATTAATATCAGCCCCGTAATCTGTCTTCTTTGATGAATACGGCTGATTCACGGCTGGTGTACGCCGAAAGGGGAGGGCGGCGAAATTTTTTGGTGCAGAAGGGAGGTGGCGAAATACGGGGAGTGAAATGAGTCATTGGGTCGTCTTATCGCTGGGCAACGCTTTTTAGCGTATAAGGGTGGAATTCCCTCCGTTTTTGCACTGCTATTTTGCGTCCGTAACCAGCCAAAAATATTCTAAAAATATTTCCCTAATTCCTCCAAGTTATAATGCAGCCCCACGACGAGTACGATTATCTTTTTAAAGGTAAGGTTTTTCGGTTAATTACAGGAACAAAAATCTGGGCCTTTATGGTAATTTCCATTCGTTTAGCTCAAGAATTTTTGAAACAATTCTGCCTTTTCAAGGGACAGGCAATGAATGGCTATGGGTTTTGGGTAATGGTTGCTTAACGAGGGGGGGGGTCGAATTATCGCAGTTGGAAACCATGAATGCCGTGTGAAATCGTTATTGGCTTTTGGCGAAACGTCACCGAGTTTTCCGAAACGTCGCAGGAGCGCTCTAAAAATAGTTAACGCCTGTAATTTGGTGCCTCGCGTAGTTGTCGAGACCTAGTCGATCGAAGGGTCGCTTTCCTACCTGCCAGACTCTTTAAAGGGGTCCTGTAGTCAAAATTCGTGTCTGCAGGGGTTGAACCCACTGGTGAAAAAACGAAAGGTCACTGTCGAGAAGTACCAGTAAAGTAATTTTTGCCAAAAAAAAACGTAAAATATTTGAGTAAAACCGTAATTTTATCGTCGCGAAGACCAATGTTTGTGCGCGCGGCGATTACATGTCGTAATGCTTTGTAAAGCGCCCAATCTATCAATCTCCAAGATTCTATCGCCAATGTTCATCCCTAAAACGTCGTGATGAGCAAAATTGCGTGAGGATTCCCGAAATATCGTCAGAATTTTTCAATTCAAGCGTTTTCAAGTCCAAACAGGGCAAACGATCATGCGGCGCGGTCGCCTTGCCGTCGCCACTGGCTATTTGCCAGGAATGAACGCGGGGGCGGCGGACTAGATTTCCAGCCCCTTTTAAAGGGGCTCCGAAATGCCAAATCAAAGCCCTTTTGGGAGGGCTCTTTGATTTCTGGTAAATTGCCAGCGGGCGCTGCGGGACAAGAGCCCTCACTCTTTCGATTTTTGCGCCAAGTTGTTTATGCCCCGTTTCTTTGTGAAAACACTATAATTCGCGCATTCTGAGCCCATTTTTGAAATCCTCACTCAATTTTAAATAGATTTGGTGTTTTAAGCATCAAATTTGGCCCAGAAACAGCCGAGAACGTGATTTCGAGGTGACAACAGGCAATTTCAAATTTGCGAGCTTCCCGCGCCCCTGGGTGTACAGAGGCCTCCGACGTCCAGGGCTCCGATTTTCGGGCCGTCACTCAATTTTTGGCATTTCGTAGCCCCTTTAACTGCCAATTTTTCAGTGATTCTACTCGGCGATTCCGGAGTTGGAAAAACCAACTTGCTGTCCCGATTCGCCGACAACCGATTCAGCCTGGAGACGCGGCAGACGATCGGCGTAGAATTCAAATGTGCCTCATTACAGGTGGCCCAGTTTCAAAAAAATTATACTTGTCTCCAGGTTGACGGGAAAACGGTGAAAGCCCAAATCTGGGACACGGCCGGCCAGGAGCGATTCCGAGCCATTACCGCGGCGTATTACCGCGGAGCCGTCGGGGCTTTGCTGGTGTATGATGTTGGTAGGTATCTAAAAATCTAAACTTGCAAATTCTTCCATATATAGAAGTTTTAGTCGTACTACTGTGATTTTTCTGCATTTTAGCCAACCACCAGAGCTACCGTAACCTGGAGCGATGGCTCGGGGAGCTGCGCGAGCATGGAGATCCGGGGATACAGGTATGGGGTGAATTGAATTCCGTAACTGGACAAAAGCTTTATCCCGGCACTGTGGCATTATCGGGGGAGGAGGAGTCACGCTATGTAAAAATTTTAACAAATTTTTAAGTTAAAAATACAAAAGTAGCTATTTTTAGGCAAAAACGCAAATTTTGGGCCAAACCAGGTTTTCCAGGCTTTCCGTTTCTGCTTACGCTCGCTCCAATTTTGCTAGTATACATCGAGTAAATGTCTCTAAACTTTTGTCACTGTTGTCAAACGTACAAACTGTAAACAAACTCTAAAAACTGTTGACGACACAAATAACCGTGATTTTCGACCAAAAATTCTAAATTTTTTCTAAAATTTAGGTTTTTCCCCTGAAATATTGAAATTTGCCCATGAAATATCGAATAAAGACTGAAAAACAACTGATCCCTCTCCCCCCGATAATGCGAAAGCACTCTTATTTTGTGAAGAAGTTTTCTAGGTGACGCTCGTGGGCAACAAGAGCGATTTGCGCCACCTCCGAGCCGTTCCGACTGACGAGGCCAGAATCTTTGCTGAAATGCAAAACTTCTCGTTTTTTGGTAGGTTTTTAAGGGTCTAGAAAGTTCGAAAATCGATGCCTCCATCGACTAAGCTCTAACGGCTACGGCACACTCCTAATGCCGGCTGGAAGCTCTTTGGAGTGACTCGTAGCTGTCTAGAGCTAGGCGATCCAGGAGTCGATTCAGGAGTCCCTTTAACTTTACAAATTCTTTTCAGAAACCTCTGCGCTGGATAGTACGAACGTCGAGACAGCATTTACCGAGCTTCTGACGCAAATCTACAGAACTACGATAGAACGGGTGGGTTCCCACTCTCTTCTTTCTCCCTCTCTCTCTCTCTCTCTCTCTCTCTCTTTCTCTCTATCTCTCTCCTTCTCTCCCTTTCTCTCTCTCTCGCTTACTCTCTCTCGCCCTCTGTCGCTCCGTCCCGCTGGCTTAATTATTTTTTTCAGAATTTCCAAACACGCTCGAATGACGCCTTCGATTTGAATGACGCCGGCGGGAAGGGCAAGAAGGGTTGCTGCAACATCTAAATATATGTAAATAAAATGTAAAATCCATGGATTTATTAATGTATTTATTTTGCAGGCAAAATAAAAGTGCCATCTCCATCTTTTCTTTTTGAGAATCGATTTACACTGCCCTTAAAAACGGTAATGATTTTAATTTTACTAAGACGGTATTTTCGAGATTATCCTAGCGCGACTTTTTCAATATTTTCCCTAACCACAAAGAGTTGCGTGGCGGGAATTAGCTCACGGTTGCTCGAGATAGCATCGTCGGCTTTTCCTGGGGCACGGCGCGAAAAACCCCTGAAATCGGGGCCCGGCATCTCCTAGGGAATCCGGGCCAAGGTTAGCTGTTTTTGTAGTTTTTTTTGTTGTTTTTAGCTGGAAAAGAAAAATACCTCGACGCTCGCTCTCAAATGATCTCTGCTAGCCTGCCCGTTCCATTCCCAAATGATCTCTGCTAGCCTGCCCCTTCCATTCCCAAATGATCTCTGCTAGCCTGCCCCTTCCATTCCCAAATGATCTCTGCTAGCCTGCCGGATTGAGTTGCTTTTCATAACTTTACGCGGTAGCAATACGCGTTTTCCCCGTTTAGCTGTTGGAAAGCGGTAAAGAAGAACCTAAAAACCGAAGGCCGGACCGGCGTACCATTTCCCAGGCAAAGCGAAGGTGGTTGGTGTGAGGCCATTTCAGGGCTACAGAACGGGGGTCGTGTGAAATGGTTTGACGCCTAATTGAGGCCGAGAACCACCCCAGTGGGCCGGATGTGGCCTAAAAACACGCCCGCACGGCTACAGTACGGTAGCCCTGGATTTGGGCTGTGGGAAAGCGGTCAAATCGCAGAGACCCGCTAGTTCTGACTCAGCTTTATGCCAATTTTGGCCCT